AGCCTGGCCAACATGGTGAAACCCCATCACTACTAAAAATACAAAAATTAGCTGGATGTGGTGGCGCATGCCTGTAATCCCAGCTACTCAGGAGGCTAAGGGATGAGAATTGCTTGAATCCTGTAGGTGGAGGTTGCAGTGAACCAAGATAGTGCCACTGTACTCCAGCCTGGGCAACAGATGGCCAACATGGTGAAATCCCATCTCTACTAAAAATACAAAAAATTAGCCAGGCGTGGTGGCAGGTGCCTGTAATCCCAGCTACTCAGGAGGCTGAGGCAGGAGAATCGCTTGAACCCAGGTGTCAGAGGTTGCAGTGAGCCAAGATTGCACCACTGCACTCCAGCCTGGGCTGTAGAGCAGACTCCGTCACACACACACACACACACACACACACACACACACACACACACACACACACTATGGCGACATGAAGACACAGGAGGGGTTTCAATGGCCAAATCTGGGACAAATTGAAAAATGAATAATCGTTTCATGAAATGGTAATGAATAATAACCCATTGATGATAAATATCCATGAGTCTATATGGATATAAATAAATAAATGGAGGAAAAGGGACAGCTCTTCCTTTCAGAAGAACTCCATTAATAAGAGACAAACACCATAGTCATAATAATTTCAAGCGAGAAGCATCAATGGATAATACGGCTAGTGGGCAAAATATGATGAAAAACAGAATATTTATATATTCCTAGGGTTATCTTGCTACAAGATACTCATTCATTTCAAAGGGAAAAATACTAACTTTACAGTGAATGAATCTAGTAGACACCACCTTAGTGAAGTAATTAAAGTTAACATCACCAATAGCAAGACAAGTTGACACAATGTGTCTCCTAATAGGATGCACTGACATGGAGAAGAGCACAGTATCATGATTGTGGTATTCTTCCCAAAATGCATTATCAGAACTTAATCACAAAGAAAATTCAGAAAAGCCCAACTTAAGGTACATTCTAAATAACTCTCCAGTGCTCTTCAAGTGTCAAAGTCTTGAATGTTAAAAAGAAGGATGAAGGAACCATCCCAAATTAAACTAAGAAGACATGACAATTTAATGCAATGTGGGATCTTATTTTGAAAGAAAAAAAAAAAAGAACCCGACTAGTGGCACAATTAATACAATTTAAATAAACTTTTAGATAACAGTATTGTATCAAATGTAATTTTCTGTATAATTATAATGTGATTAAAATTGTTAACATTTGGAGAAGCTGAGTAAAGGATATATGGGAACTCTTTGTATTCCTTTTGTATTTTTTATTCTAAGTCTGAAATTATTTTTAAATGTAAAGTTTAAAATAATGCAAAAGGCCAGGTATGATGGCTCATGCCTATAATCCCAGCACTTTGGGAGGCCAAGATGGGTGGATCGCTTGTCAGGAGGTCGAGACCAGCCTGGCCAACATGGTGAAACTCCCATCTCTACTAAAAATACAAAAAAAAAAAAAATTAGCCGAGCATGTAGCCTGTGGTCCCAGCTACTTGGAAGACTGAGGCAGAATTGCTTGAACCCAGGAGATAAAGGTTGAGGTTAAGTGAGATCATGTCACTGAATTCCAGCCTGGATGAGAGTGAGACTCCATTTCAAAAAATAAAATAGAATAAAATAAAATAATGCAAAAGACTTGTAATCAACTGTTCTGTTATTCAAATCCAGCAAGCTTGTCAAAAAGCAAGCAAACAGGCTTGAGAAGAAGGTAGGGCTAGATCATGTAGGAACCTGGAAGCCATGTTAAGGGATTTAGGCCTTGTATCTTAGGAGCAGTGAGAAGCCACCAAGAAGAGGTTGGGGCGTGGGGTCAGTACATCTGTGAGGGCTCCAACAGGAAAGAGATGGCAGGCTCAAAATAGATAATTTGAGAGAGATTTGTTTACATAGAGATTGTGTAAATGATACTCCTGACTTATGAATCCTAAGTTATCAAAAATAGGAAGGTTTCTAAGCTTACAGTTGTACTAACATTGACATTTTCACTTGAGAACACTCAGGGATAATTTAAGGAATGGATGCTGACAATTCTAGTGCCTCATGTAAGACGTAAAATAAAAGAAAGATTTTTGTTGTCATGTTTTACTATGAGGAAATATGTAAATATGCACATGATGTTTTACTGATGTTATTTATTACTGATTGCTAGTTTCTGGAATCTTGCCAGAAAGCTCCTCTAGGTTCGACAGATGTTTTGTGTGTGTGCTGCGTGCTGGCTCCTATGGTTTCGCACGGATGTTTTCAAAAAAGCTACACCACTTGACTTCTCTCTTGTTGCCACCTGCCTTGCCTTGTGACCCTTCTGTCATTCATTACTACTTCCTAGTGCTGCAAGTTTTGCTCTCATAGTGCACATAGCTCTGGGAGCCAACCTTACATGGTCTAGTTTTTATAATTAGTAGCCCCACTGAGCAATTTGACTGCCTTCATGAGGACTAGGTGAGTCATCTACTTGTGTAAGTAGGGTATGCATATTCTTTCAGGTCATCTCTCAGTTTCCCACAGCTGTTCCTCTGACCCCAAATCAAAATCCCAAGCAAATTCACCTTCTTGCTCTCTCCAGCCTTATTCTTTTTCTTCCTAAGACAGATCTACAGTCTTTTGCTGGACTATCAGCCCTAAAGTTTCCATCATTATTTATTGCAGGGGACTCTTATGCCTCCAGGATTCCTAAGGGAAGTTTTGCATATTAAAGTCCCTACTATAACCCTAATTGCTACATTCCTGGTTTTCAAAAATAGGTGGTTCTCAAACTTAGAACTTTTCAGCTGAGTAATCCTCACTTTACAAATATACATTTAAGAAAATTGTAATGTCTTTTTAAAGTCGATTTCTTCTGGAATATGACTGAAGTTGGCCTACAAGATCAAATTAGATTAGGCACAGAGGCATGATATATTTTCATCTATTAATTTCATAGGAATTAATAGAGGTTGCAGTGAGCCAAGATCGCACTATTGTGCTCCAGCCTGGGCGACAGAGTAAGTTTCTGTCTCAGCAATAACAACAACAAAAATTTAGTTATGAAAACTTCCTTTTTCAGCTAACATTTTTATAATTAAAAGGATTAACTTGAAATATACTTTTATGTCTCTGGAAGTACATGAGTCTCTGGCTTTTTCTGAAAATTTGGATGCTGCATAAGGACATACACAGAATGTGTTGGCCGAATGTGACAACACAGATGGACAGTGTGTGGCCCATGTAGAGGTCAGCTTTTACTTTTTGCCTTTTCCACTTTTCAGTTCATAGGTTTTTTTATATTCCTTTATCAATGTCTTGTTGGTTTAGGCTCCTTGGGCAAACACTTCCCAACTATCTTAGCTTATTGTTTTTTTAAGTGGCATTTTAGGGGAAGAAAGTGAAGAATTGGAAGAAAAATTTTAACTTCAGTTGCCAGTGACTCATTAGGGGACTAAAAATTAGGAGTTTCCATTGGATGTCATCTGAAAGTTTGATGCTTAGTTGTCTAGTAGTTTTCTTGCCGGGTGCTACTGGCAGACCCTGACCCAGCAATGGATGAACAAATACACTAGACACAAATATCCAGTGAAAGGGTGGACTAGGGATCCAGGCCACTCACAGACACCGAGAAGGGTCTGGTAAAGAGTTAGCAGCTGCAGCCCTGACCAGCTGGCACTCTGGGAATTTATTCAGTATAGATTTAGTGACAGAGGCTTTGAGTCAAGACACTTTTGGATAATGATTAAAGGCCAGGTTCCAAGGCTTAAAGCAAACACCATTTGTGGGTAATAACATTGTTGACCCCTTGAGTAGAGAGCAGTCATGTGCCTGTGGATGTTCAAAGGTTGGTCTTAGAACCACATTAGTAAACAAGCTCTTTAGGTAAACTCCCTTACATTCCTTTCTGCCTAATTGTCTCTGGGTAAGAACCACCGCCTTCAACTTATTCTTTCCTGAGGCTTTTGCAAAAAACCGTCTGGCCTTCCAAGAAGATTTGCTTCTATTTTATAATTTTTTCCCACCACCCTGAGTGAACCCCTACATCTACTTAGTAAATAAAGCCTCCTCTATCTGTTGGAAGAAGAGGCATTAGTATTAAAGATTAATCTAAGAAATATGTAATAGAATTGATTCAAAAGCAGTGTCCCAAACAAAATTCACTTATTGTAGAAAGAGATGCCTAATTCTTACTATTGTTAAATATATACATTGTCAAGTACTAGAAATTCAAGATTCAGTAATAACTGCTTCAAGACAATTCAGTAATAATGGCATATCACATATTTGGGAAGATAAAATATATTTTTTTCCTTTAAATTTTACTTTGTTGGAAAGCAAATGAGTTGTTAAATATGTGCTGGATTTGGATTCAAATATTAATATCAAGAATTTCAGGTTATTTGGACATAGTTTGGTATACCATTCCTTAAATGTTTTATGGTGCTTTTTTTTTTAAGTAGAAAGGATTTTTTAAAAACTCAGTTTAAAAATTTAGTTATGGATTGGGTGTAGTGGCCACACCTGTCATCCTAGCTACTCATGAGGCTATGTCAGGAGAATTGCTTTAACTTGGGAGGCAGAGGTTGCAGTGAGCCGAGATGGGACCACTGCATTCCAGCTTGGGTGTGACACAGCAAGACTCCATCTAAAAAATAATAAAAATAAAAATAAAAAAATAAGAAAGTTAGCCAGGCATGGTGGTACATGCCTATAGTCCCAGCTACCCAGAAGGCTGAGATGTGAAGATCACTTCAGCCCTGGAGGCTGAGGCTGCAGTAAGCCATGATCACACCACCGCACTCTCTAGCCTGGGCAACAGAGTGAGACCCTGTCTCAAAACAAAATCAAATTACAGCATATATATATATATATACACACACACACACACACACACACACACACACACACACATACAGAGCATATATATATATATATATATATATATATAATTTGTGAGATGAAATGAATATGCATACCCTAGTTATACAACAAAGGTTGAGTAACTTAAACTCCTAACAATACCTTGACAAAAGTTTTATTCATAGAATCCCTTGAAAGCAGCTACTAGATGAAATAACAAAAACTTTTGTTCAAGGTTTTAGCCCTTTTTATTGTCCTTCTTTTCTTCATGATTCTCTCTCAAAGGATAAATTGTACATTTCTTATATTTGTAAACATCAGATATCCAAACTATATTACTACAATCCTCAGGAACAATTCATTTCTTCAGCTCTTCATGCCCAGCTGGATTGGTACAGGCAGTAGCTTGGAGCTCCTCTGTTTCTCTTTTTAAAACAAACTCAGCAGACATTGGGTATTCCTGGACCCTGGATTTTACAGAATGAGCTACATAGTTAAGGCTGGTATTTTCACTCCAATGCCAGTAACCTGAGAAGGGGTTATACAGCATTCCTATCACTGTTTGAACTGACAGACCATCTGAAAAAAAGTATCAGAAAAAGTAGATTTAATAAATATTTACTTTCCAATTTCCAAGAGTCTCATGCAAATCTCTGTATTAAAAATGCTGGGAGGACACTAAATGGATAAGAAAAGAAGGAAAAGAAAAGGATTCCTAACTTAATCGGCAAACATATTTTGTAACTATGTACTAATCACAATTTACTGCAGAACTGCAGTAAGTCACAATTAGAACACATACTCTAAAGCAGTGTGCCTGGATTCAAATCCCAGCTCAGGCACGTATTATATGGTGACCATGGGCAAGTCACTTAACTTTTCTAAACCTCAGTTTTCTTAAGTGTATAGAACTTGCATCATAGAATTGTTAGAATTAGATGAGCTATGTGTGTAAACTAGCGCAATGCTGGGAGTTTGGTAAGTATTCAATACATGTTAGCTGTTATTAAAAAACACCTGCCAGTAGGAGATTGTCCCCATAACTCATCTTTAAAACATTGTTTTCCTATATCCCTCCCTCCTTCTTTTCTTTTTTGAGACAGAGTTTCATTCTGTCACCCAGGCTGGAACACAGTGGCACAATCTCGGCTCACTGCAAACTCCATCTCCTGAATTCAAGTGATTTTCCTGCTTCAGACTCTCAAGTAGCTGGATTACAGGCATGTGCCATCGTGCCCAGCTAATTTTTGTATTTTTAGTAGAGATGGGTTTTGCCACATTGACCAGACTGGTCTCAAAATCCTGACTTCAAATAATCTGCCTGCCTCAGCCTCCCAAAATGCTGGGATTACAGGAGCCACTGTGCACAGCCTTACTTTATTTTCAACAAAATTACTCACAGAAATCTTTAGACTTTACTACATTGCTATGTACTGATAATATTCCAAGTAAAATCAAGTTTATTGATAGTTATATGAAAAAAAATTAGAAATATAGGAATCTAAGTACTCAACAGAAATACCAAATGCCAAGTAAATGAACTGACAAACACTATTACTTGACAGGAATTTTTTCATGACATAAATTGACTCTGCGTAAAGCAGAGCTAGGCATTGTAGAGAGTACAAAAAGGAGACATAGTCTTGCCTTCAAGAAGCTTATAGGCCTTAAAAGGATGAAAAAAAACACCAAAATAACCATAAAGTCATGCTGTAAGTCATAGAAAATACATAAAAAGTGACACTGAAGTTCAAAATATATGTAACAGTGGCGGAATCAGGAAAAATAATATGTAAGATAAGCTGATACCAGCTGAGCTCAATAGGGCATACTGAAAATGTGTAAAAGCAGACATTCATACCTCATACTTAAACAAGTGAGGACTAAATAGCCAAAAAGTATTCACTGATCGTCTGTTACCTGCGTGGCCCTGGGTTGGGGACAACAGGTAAATGGGAAGTGGTATCTATTACTTAATCCTAATGTCAAAGAGTTTATGACCTAGTTGAGGAGATAAAACCAATATCCAAAAATATAGCAACCTATTTTATTAAGTGCTAGGCTAAGTGATTTATAATTACTGGGACATTAAAAGTTCACTTAGGCCTGGAAAACTGGAAAAAATGCTCTTAATACTTACTTGATTCCAGAATGCTCTCTAGTGTTTCAGGTGAAACAAACTTCTCCCATGTATGAGTACCTTTTGGTACAATACCTGCAATTAGCTCTGAAAAAACAATTCCCAAAGCATAGGAAAGTTGTGTTTTGTTGATTGTAGTAATGAATAAAGAACCACCAGGCTAAAAGAAATGAAATTATATAGAAGTAAAATGTAAAAGGTTAGGTGTATCAATTAAGGGTAAGTTTCCCCCTCCCTCCTCCTTTCTTCCATAATCTGAGTGCCATTAAGATATATATGTTTGAATAAAATATAATTCACCAAAATACTATTTTTTCTCTTGGGAAATTCACTATAAAAGGCATTTTAGATGTACCCAGTAAGTATATACAACAGTGCTTACAACTCTTAAGATCATACATAATTATGATTTATATTTATACATTCTTTTGTATCATATCACTTTATGATAAAATACAGAATGAGATCAGGCTGCTTTTCCTTGTTACATGTCCACATTCACATTCTAACATATGTCAAAACGGTTTTCACTGTAAGGGCTGAGCCTGTCTTAACTCATTTGTTTACAGCACAGAGCTGTACATACATCTTATGCAGGGAAGCACTACCGATAAGTGTTCTGTGACTAAAACATTAACGGTTAGGTTTTAATGTTTTTTGTTTTGTTTTGATTTCATTTTTATAAAAAATATAAAGACCGACCTGCCATGGTGACTTACACCTGCATTCCCAGCACTCTGGGAGGCTAAGGCAGGAAGATCACTTGAGATCAAGAGTTTGAGACCAGCCTGGCCAAAATGGTGAAACCCCCTGTCTCTACTAAAAGTATAAAAATTAGCTGGGCATGGTGGCATGTGCCTATATTCCCAGCTACTCAGAAGCTGAGGCAAGATAATCACTGGAACACAGGAGGTAGAGGTTCTGTCTCTCTCTCTCATTATTTATAAATTTATGGGATTTATAAATAGCCCCATAAATCCTTTACATTCATTCCAGAACAAGATAAGCACTGGAATGAATGTAAAGGATTTATGGGACTATTTATGAGACTATTCAGTCTGCAATTTTATTTTATTTTATTATTTTTTGAGACAAAGTCTTGCTCTGTCATCCAGACTAGAGTGCAGTGGTGTGATTCTGGCTCACTTCAACCTCTGCCTCCTGGATTCAAACAATTCTCTTGCTTCAGCCTCATGAGCAGCTGGGATTACAGATGCCTGCCACTGTGCCTGGCTGCTTTTTGTATTTTAGTAGAAATGGGGTTTCACCAAATTAGCCAGGCTGGTATCGAACTCCTGACCTTGTGATCCACCTGGCTTGGCCTCCCAAAGTGCTGGGATTACAGGCGTGAGCCAGCATGCCCAGACTCAGTCTGGCATTTTATAGTAACTATATTGATGGCGTTTCCTTATGTTGTCTCACAATGGCAAGGATATTAATGTCTCCTCTCTCTTTTATACATTGTCATTAGCCTGACTGGAGAAAAATGCCAAAGATTACCTCCAAAATAATAAAATTACATATAGAAAGAAAGAGAGAAAGAAAAGGGGGTTGGGAGAAAGATAATATATCTTAGATATCACTCTAAGCCAAAACCAAAAAACATAAGGTGGGGGCCCTGAAATATTGGGGTATGCCTTTAAAAACAAAAATATCATATACTATATTATCACACATTTTGACCTTCCTCTGTAAACCTCCGGTATTCTAAAATATCTTTTTTTTTCCTTTAGTGGCATGATCGTAGCTCACTGCAGCTTCAAACTCTAAAATTCTAAAATATCTTAAGCATCGCTTACAGGCCAGACATGGTGGCTCATGCCTATAATTCTAGTGCTGAGGCAGGAGGACAGCTTGAGGCCAGGAGTTCAAGATTAGTCTAGTCAAGTTTATTTTAAAAGTTCAAGTTTATTTAAAAAAACTGTCAGGCATAGTGGTGTATACCTGTAGACATAGCTGCTTGGAAGGCTGAGGCAGGAAGATCACTTGAGCCCAGGAGTTTGAGGTTATAGTGAGCTATGATAGTGCCACTGCACTCCAGCCTGGGTGACAGAGGAAGGACCCTGTCTTTGAAAAAAAAAAAAATCACTTATGAATATCTAATCTATGTTCTACAAAATCATACTCTAAGGAAATGATGGTAAGCAATAGTCATTTTTAAAATACAGGTTTTCCATTAAAGCAAAAATTAGTTTTAGAGCCCACAATGCTAGCATCCCTCATGTGTGTCAAAGAAGCTCCATTCATACACACTGACTGACATGCAATATAAGAATTAACAATCAATTAAGAAATCTTATTTGGAAAATAAGAGATAAGCCTAGGAAACTCCACTTAAGAGGAAACAAGGGCTAGGCACAGTAGCTCACACCTGTAATCTAGCACTTGGAGAAGCTGAAGCAGCAGGATCCCTTGAATCCAGGATTTTGAGATCAGCCTGGGCAACATCGAGAGACTCTGTCTCTACAAAAAAGTAATAAAATATAAAATTAAAATTACCCAGATATGGTGGCATACACCTGTGGTCCCAGCTACTTGGGGTGCTGAGATAGGAGCATGGCTTGAGCCCAGGAAATGGCTGCAGTGAGCTGTGATTTTGCCAGTGGCCTCTAGCCTAGGCGACAGAGTACGAACTTGTCAAGAAAAAAAAAAAAGGCAACACCAAGAGAGAGACTAAGGAGAAATGGCAACTAAATACATGTAGGCATCTGGTTTGGATCCTCTAACAGCAAACTGACATTAGCAAAAATAAATTAATAAAATTTAACAAGCTCTGCAGTACAGTTAACAAGTATAATGTTGAAGTTAATTTTTTAGTTTTGAGAACTGTACCATGGGTTATATAAAGGGCTAGGACTATGAGGCAAGTGAGGCTTCTAGGGCACAGAATTGAAATAGGTAACCCCTTTCAGGGTGTGCAAGTGCAGGGTCAGCACCTGAGAGGGACTGTCTTCTACAATTTCGTGCCCTAAAAGTGCCTCACTTGACTCAACCTAGTTCCTACCCTTATGATGTGAGATGTTAACCTAAGGGGAAGACAGGTGAAAGGAACACCGTACTATCTTTGCAATTTTGCTATAAATTTAAAATTACTTAAAAATAATTTTCTAAAAAAAGCTCTGTTTTGCTAAGAGCTAAGCATTTCATTGTTTTAGCTTTTGACCTTAGGATGTCACCTCCTGAGTATGTGAACAACAGAGTCAGTGTAGTAATAATAATAATGCTTTAAGGGCATTTATTAAAAGAAAACTTAGAACCACCTTCAGAGGATGAAGTCTATGGCAAATTATACTATATAAGCATAATAAGTAATGGAGAGAAGCAAACTTGCAGTCAAATGGTCTGGCCTTAACTCCCACTTAAATGGCTAGTGACCTCTGACATCTCACAAATCCTGAGTCCTCACAGGAGAAAGGATGTGATAATAATTACCTGCCTTTCCTTCCTTACCTAGTTGTAGGTAAGATCAAGTGAGAACATATTTATGAAATATTCTTTGAAAGCTAAAAACTACTATGCATTTACCACATACAGAATTACATATCTTATGTAATTAAATTTATGCTAATAATTTTTATTGATTTTTAAGTATTCATCCAAATCAATTTTTTAAATTGTCATTCAATATCTATTAAGTATTTAATCCCGACTATACCAATGGAAAAATAATGCTATAAATGTATGGTTTTCCAATGTTCAGCACCAATATTTTTCTTTTCTTTTTGGAGACAGGGTCTCACTCTGTTGCCCAGGCTGGAGTGCAGTGGCATGATCTCGTCTGACTGCAACCTCCACCTCCAGGGTTCAGTGATTCTTGTGCCTCAGCCTCCCGAGTAGCTAGGATTACAGGCGTGCACCACCATGTTCAGCTAATTTTTGGTATTTTTAGTAGAGACAGGGTTTTGCCATGTTACCAAGGCTAATCTTGAACTCCTAGCCTCAAGTGATCTGCCTGCCTTGGTCTCCCAAAGGGCTGGGATTATAGGTGTAAGCCATCATGTCCGGCCAGCAACAACATTTTTCAAGATCCCTGGACATCCAAGATACTAAAAGAACACAGGAAAACCCTGGTAGTGAGGGCAAGCTGAGGGACAGTAGAAATCTACAGCAGAGATGCTGCCCCCTTCTCCCAGCTTCCTGGTTTCATCTCTACTATACCTTGCCTGCCGGACTGCTAATGCATTATGGATCATTTTATTGCTATGGATACATATACACACACTCAGAAGAAGAAGTCAAGATGTAAACTCCATAAACCTTACTTTTAACACTTGACAGCAGCACTGTAAAAATGTTTCTAGATCAGTCACATGTTCTACAACTTCAGAAGCCACAACAGCATCAAATGTTTCTGGAGTCTCTTCCACAATCTCTTCCAGAGAACACACTCTGTACTCTATCCTCTTATCCAGGACTGGATCAAATGATTTATGGCACAGTGCTGTTTTAATGTTCTCATCCACAGGATCGATTCCAATAACTGAAGCCCCAAGCCGCCCTAGAGGCTAATGGCATAAAAAAAAGTTACCCTCAGGAAGAAAATAGAACACGTTAGCAATAAAAAACTTACCAAAAATGAAACAAGATTAACCATGAGGTGATAAATACTAGACATCATTTATGGGTACATGGAAATTCATATACCATTTTCTTTAGTTTGTACACATTTGAAATTTTCGATAATCAAACACTTAAAGGTAAGAAGAACAATTAAAACAACAAAAACTGATTTTAAAAAAACTACTTGAAGACAGTGAAAACAATTTTGTCTATGTACTCAAGGCACATTTACTTGTACATAGTACAGTATTAACACAGTTAAAAGTGCAATAAATGTAACAAGTCACTGTAAAAACAGCAATCATTTCCAAAATATTCAAATTGTTTAAAGAACAATCTTTTCTCAAGTTTTTTTATCTGACTAGAAATTATTTTTTCATAGCTAATTCTTCTCTCAGGTTTTGTATTTAGTTATTTCCCATGATATGTCCAAGTTTTTAAACACAGGTTGGCCAGGTATGGTGGCTCCTGACTGTAATCCCAACACTTTGGGAGGCTGAAGCGCGTAGATCACCTGAGGTCAGAAGTTTGAGACCAGACTGGCTAACACGGCGAAACCTAGTCTCTACTAAAAATACAAAAAATTATCCAGGGATTGTGGCGGGTGCCTGTAATTCCAGCTAGTTGGGAGGCTGAGGCAGGAGAATCACTTGAACTTGGAGGCAGAGAATGCAGTAAGCTGAGATCATGCCATTGCACTCCAGCCTGGGCAGAGTGAAATACTGTCTCAAAAAAAAAAAAAAAAAAAAAAGAAATCAACATATTTTTTTTTTTTTTTTGGAGACACAGTCTTGCTCTGTTGCCCAGGCTGGAGTGCAATGGCACAATCTTGACTCACTGCTACCGCTGCCTCCTGGATTCAAGTGATACTCCTGCCTCAGCTTCCCAAGTAGCAGGGATTACAGATGCCTGCCACCACACCTGGCTAATTTTTGTATTTTTAGTGGAGATGGGTTTTGCCATGTTGGCCAGACTGGTGTCAAACTCCTGACCTCAGGTGATCCACCCACCCCGGGCTCCCAATATGCATTGCTTTTTTTTAATGAATAATATTATTTGTTGAAAGGATAAATGAACCACAAATCTACTTCTTAATTTTTTTCCCTCAGTTAAAAATGGCAGGAAAACTGTCACTTACTTCAGTTAACAGCCCACCACCACAGCCAACATCAAGAATCTTCATCCCAGACAAAGGTTTTCCTGGCTGGTGATTAGGAATTGTTTTCAGAAGATTGTCTCTTTAAAAAATTCAAAACATACCAAAATAAATAATTAATTTTATCAATAAATAGTCTTAAATGTATGTAGTTTTCAAGGAAATATTAACTCTCATTTAAATAGATTATTTATATTTTTGCATAAACAGGTCTTTTATTTTCAACATTAAGTGATAATTTATAAAACATTTTCAATAATCAAAAGCAGGAGGCTTAAAGGTCTAAAATAATCTGGTCGTAATTATGACTTAATTATTGTTTTAGTAATAAGATAAAGGGAAAATTTCAAAATAATCTAGTTTAGATTAACCTAATTTCAGTAGCTTGTGATAGCATGACACATGTTTTGGCTTTGCTGTCAATATTTGCTAGACCTATTTCATGTCAGTAGCAAATAGGTTATTTTAAAGAGCTTAGGAAAAGCAGATAAGAGACCTATATTTTCAGAATTTGTCTATATTTCCTAAGAAATGGAATCTCTTTTAATCTTCTAAACGAGTGGTGTTTCATGTATGAGCATATAACAGGCATCTAAATCAAGTAAACTTAATTCTAAAATAATCACAATAATACTTTACCTATACAAACATATGTATACACACATATACACACAAGTATATACACACACCTAACAGTATGTAAACTAAACATATAAATATATATGGATTATATATAAGCTTTAATTATACCTAAAATAAATATTATTCATAATGAGGATATCTTAAGATATCTTCTACTGCCACTAAAATTAATTGAATTCTAAGAATAACAAGGATAGTGGAAAGGATCCATTTCAAATGAAATCCGATCCATTCTTTAAACAGCAGCTAAAATGACTTCTTTACATCATAATTTAGATCATACCACTTTCCTCTGATGGCTTCTAATTATGCTCAAAATAAAATCTAAACTTTTAACCATACCTTGCACTGCCCTGGCCTATTATGTATGATGTCTAATTAAAGGTGTCACAGTAGTTTGAATAGATTAATTCTCAAACTTACTATGCATCAGAATCACCAGAAAAGTTTGCTTAAAACAGAGTGCTGTCCCTTCCCCAGAGAAGTAGGTCCCTGATGAGACCTAATAATTTGCATTTCTTTTTTTTTTTTTGAGACGGAGTTTCCTCTTGTTACCCAGGCTGGAGTGCAATGGCGCGATCTCGGCTCACCGCAACCTCCGCCTCCTGGGTTCAGGCAATTCTCCTGCCTCAGCCTCCCAAGTAGCTGGGATTACAGGCACGCGCCACCATGCCCAGCTAATTTTTGGTATTTTTAGTAGAGACGGGGTTTCACCATGTTGACCAGGATGGTCTCGATCTCTCGACCTCGTGATCCATAATGAGTTCCTAGGTGAACTAACGTCACTGTCGAGGGCCTACACTTTGAGAACCAGTGTTCTAGCTTACATGAACAACATCTCTGTTTTTCTTTGCTCTACTGTTTGTTGCAGTGGTCCACAAAGTCAGCAGTATTAAACCATGCCAGTATTTCTCTTTTTGCTACACTGATTCTGGATGAACCAGCAAAAACCAATCAGGAAATTCCTTGAGGGCAAAGTCTGAGTCAGATATTCTGTGTCTGTTAAAATGCTTTGCCCAAAATTGTTTGATGAATACATAAATGGACAGAAGAACAAATGAACAATGTCTTAAATGAAAGCCCTGATGAACTCTAGGCTTTCTTTAACTTCCGCAGCACCCTATACGTTCCCAAACCACATAGATTATGTTTCATTCATCTTAGAATCTTCTACAGTCTAGCCTCTGAGGTCTGTATGAGGTAAGTTCTCAGAAAAATTTGTTGAATCAAACTTTCACAGCAGAATTCCCTTTACCAGAACTGCCTAAATCAATGAGGCCATTGTAGGTCTACAGGCATAAAATGGCCTTGGGCCAGGCATGGTGGCTAATGCCTGTTATCCCAGCATTTTGGGAAGCCGAGGTGGGTGGATCACCTGAGGTCAGGAGTTTAAGATCAGCCTGGCCAACACAGTGAAACTCTGTCTACTAAAAATACAAAAATTAGCTGCGCATGGTGGCGGATGCCTGTAATCCCAGCTACTTGGGAGGCTGAGGCAGGAGAATTGCTTGAATCCAGGAGGTGAAGGTTGCAGTGAGCTGAGATCTCTCCATTGTACTCCAGCTTGAGTGATGAGAGAGACTGCATCTCAAAAATAAATAAATAAATACATAAATGAAAAATAAAATAAAATGGGCTTGAAGCCATAAGACCCTAGTTTGCTTTTATAAGGACTTAATTCTAATTGACTTGATAATTTACAAATATGCTTCAAATTAAGCTATGAAAGCAGCCTGGACCTTGGGTGATATTATTAAAAATTAATGGTTTCAAACAGTGGTCACTGAAAAGAATGTCTCTAATTTCCAAAGCAAACTTAAAGCAGCATTTTTAACTAGGTATAAACCAAAACAAAAATGAATGTAAAATATAAATTCTTACAAAGTTCTACTTAAAACTTTCTGTTTCTGGAATGTTACCTAATAAATGGCACCCTCAGGTCATTCATGGAATGGAGAGGCCCATATATTCCTTGCTCATCCCACCATTTGTGAGCCAGGGCCACGAAGGTTTTCACCTCACCGCTGTCGACAGTGGTTTGGGAAGTACTGAACAGTTTCACCCAAGGGTACCTATGAGGCAAAAATGAATAACCAGCAAATACCACTGTTTTGAAGAAAAGTTTAACATGGGATATATTCTATAGAAACATTGTCTTATTTACAATTTATTATATTCTAAATCTGTACATTGCTCAATACTGATGCTTTAAAACCAAGTTTTCCTATAATCACAATGCTTACAAACATATATATTCACAGATAAAACAAAATTACTTTCCAAGTAAGTTTCAATTCAAAATGGAACTTTATAAAACTTAGCCTTCTGGGTCATATCTAATAATAATAATAATAGCTACCATTTATTGAACACTTATTAAATTCAGGTATTGTTTAAGAACTCCACATGTATCACCTCACTTAATCCTTCCAATGACTCTGCAAGATGGGTACTACTATCCCTATTTTACAGACAAGAAAAGGGAGGCTCAGAAAGATTAAGTAAACGGTGGAGCCAGGATTTGAATGCAGGTGCCTCCATCTTCTCTGCTCCACTTCTACTGCCAGCATTCTAACCCAAGCACCCATCATCTCTTGCCTGAGTTAGCCTTCTAACTAGTAGCTGCTTCCTACCTCATCCCGTTTCAGTCTGTTCTCCATGATGCATCTAGAGTGTTTGTTCCAAAATGGAAATCTGATGGTTATTTTCCCGAATAAAATGCTTCCATATCTTCCCAATGACATTAGAAAATAAGACCAAAATCCTTAGTATAGTTTACAAAGTTCTGAATTATTTAGTGCCCAGTTTCCTCCCTCTCCAATCTCATTTCCTTCTATTTTTATCATTCCCACTCCAACCACATGGGTCCTTTTTCAGTTCTTTGGACTGGCTGCACAGGCTCTTTCCTGGGGCACTTCACATAGGTTGTCCCTCTGCCTGGAACATTCCCACCTCCTTCCTTTCCTCTCCCAAACACCTAATTAATTCCTTTTCATCCTTCAGATCCTAGTTTCAATGGCATGTTATCTAAGAATCTTCCCTGGCCTGCTGTGCACGGTGGCTCACATCTGTAATCCTAGCATTTTGGGAGGCTGAGACAGGTGTATCACCTGAGGTCAGGAGTTTAAGAGCAGCCTGGCCAATATGGCAAAACCCTTCTCTACTAAAGATACAAAAATTAGCCAGGCATGGTGGTGGGTACCTGTAATCTCAGCCTCTTGGGAGGCTGAGGCATGAGAATCACTTGAACCAGGGAGGTGGAGGCTGCAGTGAGTTGAGATCATGCCACGCACTCCAGCCAGGGTGACAGAACAAAAGTCTGTCTCAAAAAAAAAAACAAAAACTTCCTTGATCTTCAAAACTGGGTCATGTTCCCCTCATTCCCTTATTTTAATTCCTATACCACTTTGTACTTCTTCATGAGACTGTGTGATTATCTGATCATGTCTGTCTTCCAATAGACCACTAGACCACAAGCACTATGAAGGCAAGGCATGGACTGTCTTGCTTACCATTTTATTCTTAGTGACTAGTACAGTTCCTGAAACATGGTGCTCAGGAAGCACTTATCAAATGAATAATCTGAAGAAAAAAGCCCAGAAAAGTATATAATTTGCCTAAAATTTTATTGAATTAAATGGGATCAAAGAGGGGTTAGATCCCATTTAATTAAACAAAATTTTACACTGACTTCCATGTCAGAGTATATCGTATAGAAAAATCCTTCAAAGGACTGCTTGGGTAAAAGATAATAAGGATGTTAAGATAGAAATGTGGTAATGCCATTTAAATTTTTATTAAGTTTTTCTTAGCTACATATGGAAAGCATATTCTATATTCATTACTTTTTATTCTTTTAAGATTCAAATGTCATTCTTCTTTAGTATTATCTTAGGAATATTAGCCCCCTTTTCCATGCTTAATGTAAAGCCTCAGTAATCAAGGACTAATTTACAATAGATAACAGTAGGTGGTTGCTCATTTGACTAAGAATGATTTCATACACACCCAATCTCAAAGGGGCTCATTTACAAGAAGGAGAAGCAAGCACTTAGAAACAGAGTTCAAGGACAGGTATGGTGGCTCACACCTACAATCCCAGAACTTTGGGAGGCCGAGGAGGGCAGATCACCTGAGGTCAGGAATTCAAGACCAGCCTGGCCAACATGGTGAAATTCCATCTCTACAAAAAAATTAGCTGGGCATGGTGGCAGGTTCCTCTAATCCCAGCTACTCGGGAGGCTGAGGCAGGAGAATCGCCTGAACCCAGGAGGCAGAGGTTGCAGTGAGCTGAGATTGCGCCACTGTACTCCAGCCTGGGCAACAAGAGTGAAACTCCATGTCAAAAAAGAAAAAAAAAAAAAACAGAGTTCAAGTATTAATGCTATGCAATATTTTGACAAGGTTAGAAGTTGGTTTATAAAATACAAATACAGAAAGGTATTACTTTGTTTCAGTTTACTACCTTATCATATTTATGCTGCATCCAAATCACTTATGATTTCTAAAAGTTTTTAAATATTGTATTATGTATTATAAGTAATATTTATTATTTTAAGCACTGCATTGTTTGTATCTTGTCATAAGGACATTATGAGAAGATAAAAATTCTTCTCTAAGTAATGGTCCTATATTGAAAATAAAAGCTATCTCTGAATCTGAATGAAGGTTATGTATTGTCTATATGCTGCATTATTCTATCGCCATTTCTGTGGGATTGAAACTCCCCAAACCTAAAAATTGTTGGAAAATAAATTAGTTAAGATTACTTAAATAAACACAGCTACTTTAATCAAACCACATGAACTAACTGGATTTATTAAACATAATACTAAAAAACTATTTGCCACAGTAATAATAAACTCACCTGAAATTCTTTATTCTGTTCAAACAGGAAAAGGTCATCCTGTAGGATTTGAACCACATGGTTCTGTATTCACTGAAAACCCCTGGTTTAATTTGTAGAGTCCAGCTGAGCTGGTTTTTCGCATAAACTGAAAAAAAAAAAAAAGAAATATCTAGAGAAAAGCATTCTACAGTAAGAATCCCTGATATGCATGTAATTGAAGATTTTATTTTATTTTTTATTTTATTTTAGACAGTCTCACTCTGCCACCCAGGTTGGAGTGTAATGGCACAATCATGGCTCACCGTAGCCTCCACCTCCTGACTCAAGCAATCCTCCTGCCTCATCTTCCCGAGTAGCGGGGACTACAGGCGCATGCCATCATGCCCAGCTAATTTCTGTTGTTATTGTTGTTGAGATGTGGTCTCCCTATGTTGCTCAGGCTGGTCTCAAACTCCTGGGCTAAAGAGATTCTCCCACCTCAGCCTCCCAAAATGCTCGGATTCACTGCATCTGGACAAAATTTTATTTTATATGGTAACGCTATGTTACATTACAATTGATAAACAAAGCGTTTTTGTTTTTTACTTAAGATTTTACCTAAAAATTAAAATAAAGGCCTTACATTCTGGTATCTAACTCTAACCCAGACATTTCTAAAATTATAATTAGCAAAAACAAGTAATGCATATGTTTATAAAGTTTTTTATGCGATTAGTTCTTACATCTACACTATGTACATAAAATGACAGGAATGATATTCAAATATAAAGTATTATGTTTTAACTAGGATAATATTAATTCTGAAATTATTTGTCAACACTAGTTCAAATTCTGTCAATTCTATATTAGTTACATGAAATTAATTTTTACATATGCTCAATACCCTTTAGAGAGAAAAATAAGATATGTGTATATGTATCCTAAAATAAACATTCACCCAGTCTATATGCTCAACTTACACAGGGTCCTGCTTTATGAGCCAGCTGCTGTGCTGCAGAACACTCAGTTGTTCAATAAACATTCAGACAAAGTAGACTTTGGAGCAAAGAAAAGTACCCGAAACAAAAAGGGACATTACATCACAATAAAAGGGATAATACACCAAGAAAAAAAAGCAATACTAAATATGTATGTACCAGCCAGGCAAGTTAGCTCACGCCTGTAATACCAGCACTTTGGGAGGCCAAGGTGGGAGGATCACCTGAGGTTAGGAATTCAGGACCAGCCTGGTCACCATAGTGAAACCCCGCCTCTACTAAAATTACAAAAATTAGCCAGGCATGGTAGCATGTGCCTGTAATCCCAACTACCCAGGCGGCTGAGGCAGGAGAATTGCTGGAACCCAGGAGACGGAGGCTGCAGTGAGCCAAGATCGAGCCACTGCACTCCAGCCTGGGCGACAGAGCAAGACTCTGTCTCAAAAGAAAAAAAAGTGTATGCACCAAACAACAGAATTTCAAAACACATAAAGTAAAAACTCATAGAAATGAAATGGGAAATAAATCCACAATTGTAGTTGGAGACTTCAGTACTCCTCTCTCAATAACTGATAGAACCACTGGATAGAAAACCAGCAGGGATAAAGAACTGAACAAGACCATTATTCAATAAAATCTACTTAAAATGTATAAAACACTTCTCCCAAACAACAAAATAATACGTTCTTTCAAGCATACGTGGAAAATTCATAAAGATAGACCATATCCTGGTACACAAAACAAACCTTCACAACTTCAAGTGAAATTACACAAACTATATTTTTGACTGCAACAGGATAAGATAAAAAATAGAAAAGTAACATTAAAAAGAAAAACACTTGGAAATTAAGCAACATATTTCTAAACAATCCATAAGCCAAAGACAAAGTCTCAGGGATATTTTAAAAATTGAAGTAAATGAAAATAAATGTACTATATATAAAAATTGGTGGATATAGCTAAAGGAACACTGAGAGGGTAATTTATATCACTAAAATAATCATATTGAAAAGGAAGAAAGGGCCAGGCATGGTGTCTCATGCCTATAATTCCAGCACCTTGGGAGGCTGAGGCAGGTGGATTACATGAGGTCAGGAGTTCAAGACCAGCCTGGCCAACATAGTAAAACCCTGTCTCTATTAAAAGTACAAAAATTAGCCAAGGGTGGTGGTACATGCCTGCAGTCTCAGCTACCGGGAGGCTGAGGCAGAAGAACTGATTGAACCTGGGAGGTGGAGGTTGCAGTGAGCCAAAATTGTGCCATTGCACTCCAGTCTGGGTGATGGAGCAAGACTCTGTCTCAAAAAAAAAAAAAAAAAAAAAAAAAGAAAGAAAAAAAAGAAAGGCCTAGAATCAACAATCTAAGTTTCCATTTAAAGAACTAGAAAAAGGAGAGCAAAATAAACATATAACAAGCAGAAATCAGAAAATGATAACAACAGAAATCAGCTGGGTGAGGTGGTGCATATCTGTAGTCCCAGCGCTTTGGGAAGCCGAGGCAAGTGGATCACTTGAGGTCAAGAGTTCAAGACCAGGCTAGCTAATATGACAAAGGTCTGTCTCTCCTAAAAATATAAAAATTAGCCAGGCTTGGTGGCACATGACTATCCTAGCTACTCAGGAGGCTGAGGCACAAGAATCGCTTGAACCTGGGAGGTAGAGATTGCAGTAAGCCGAGATGGTGCCGCTGCACTCCAGCCTGGGTGACAGAATGAGACTCTGTCTCAATAAATAAATAAATAAGAAAATCAATGACATTGAAAACAAAACCAAAGAAAATATACCAAACCTGCGTGATAAATAAATAAATAAATAAATAAGAAAATCAATGACGTTGAAAACAAAACCAGAGAAAATATATCAAACCTAAAGTTAATTCATTGCAATAATCAATAAAATTGATAAACCTATAGCAAGGCTGAAAAAGAAAATATGTAAATCACCAATATCAATAATTAAAGAAGGAATATTACTATAGACCCAATAGACATTAAAAGGTTGACAAGGGAATACTACAAATAACTCTACACACAGAAATTCCACAATTTAGACAAAATAGACTAATTCCATAAAAACCACAAACTACCAAAATTCATATAAGATAAAATAACCTGAATAATTGATAACTATAAAGAAATTGAATTCATATTTAGAAGCCTTAAAAAAAACAAATCTCCAGCCTTGATGCATTTGCTGGTGAATTTCACTAAATACTTGAAGAGGTAACAACCAATTCTACTTAATCTCTTAAATAAAATAGAAGGGTAAGAAATACTTCCCAACCCATTTTATGAAGCTAACATTATTCTGATACAAAAATCAAAGAGTACAGCAAAAACTACAGACCAATTCCTCTCAGGAACAGATACAAAAATCTGTAGCAAATGTTAGCACAATAAAATTCAGCAACATATAAAAGAACAATACAGCACAACCAAGTGGGATTTATTCCAGGTATGAAACACTAGTTCAACATTAAAAAATCAATTAATATAACTGACCACATTAACAATAAAAAAGCGAAACAGAGCAGGTGGGGTGGCTCATACCTGTAATTCCAGCACTTTGGGAGGCTGAGATGTGGGGACTGTTTGAGCCCAGGAGTTTGAGACAAGTCTGGGCAACACAGTAAGACCCCATCTCTATAGAAAAACTTAAAAAAATTAGCCAGGGGGCCGGGCATAGTGGCTCATGCCTGTAATCCAAGCACTTTGGAGGCCAAGGTGGGCAGATCACCTGAAGTCAGGAGTTCAAGACCAGCCTGACCAACATGGTGAAACCCCCGTCTTTAAAAAAAAAAAAATTAGCCAGGGATAGTGGTATGCACCTGTGGTCCTCACTACTGAGGAGGCTGAGATGGGATGATTGTTTCAGCCTGGGAGGTAGAGGCTGCAGTAAGCCATGAGTGCACCACTGCACTCCAGCCTGGGATACAGAGCAACAGTCTGTCTCAACAAACAAACAAACAAACAAACAAACAAATCAAAACTAAAAACAAAACAAATGCCAAACATAAGCATGTTGACTGATACAAAGCATTTAACAAAATCCATATCCATTATGATTAAAAACTTTTGGCAAACTAAGAATGAAAGAGAAATTATTTTATGAAACAGCTATAAAAGCCTATAGCTCACATGGTACTTAATGGTGAAAGACTAAGCACTTTCCCCCTAAAACTGGAAACAAGGTAAGCACATCCATTCTCACTACTCTTATTCAACATGGTGCTGAAAGTCTTTTTCAGTGCAATTAGGCAAGAAAAGGAAATAAAAGGTATATAGAACATCAAGGAAGAAATTAAACTATCCCTAATTGTCTATGTAGAATATCCCAAGAAATCTTTAAAAAAGCTCCTGAAACTAATAAGTGAATTTAGAAAGGTCAAAAGATTACAAAGGCAACACAAAAAAAGTCAGTCATGCTTCTTTTTTTTTTTTTCTAGGTCTGACAAATACATTATGCATAATGCCAAGATGTCTCTGCAATAAACATTTTCTTTTATTTATTTATTTTTATTATACTTTAAGTTCCAGATGCAGTCATGTTTCTACATACTAACAATAAAAAAGTGGAAAGCAAAACTCAAAATGTAAAATGCTTTATCATTTTAAAACATTCTGAAAAAAAATTTTCAATGTTGCATAAATCAAACAAAAACATGTACAAATCTATATGCTTAAAAGTATAAAACACTGATGAAAGAAACCAAAGGCCTAATAAAGGTGAGACATAATGGAAGATTCAACATAGTAAAAACATCCTTTCTCCCCAAATTGATCTATACATTTAATACAATTCCTATCTGCATGGCTTTTTTTTTTTTTGGTAGACACAGATATGCTGATTTTAAAATGTATAAGGAAAGGCAAAAGAGGCCGGGTGCGGTGGCTCATGCCTGTAATCCTAGAACTTTGGGAGGTTAAGGCAGGTGATCACTTGGGGTCAGAAGTTCAAGACTAGCCTGGCCAACATGGTAAAACCCCATCTCTACTAAAAATAAAAAAATTAGCCAGTTGTGATGGTGGGCACCTGTAATATGAGCTACTCAGGAGGCTGAGGCAGGAGAATCGCTTGAACCCAGGAGGCAGAGGTTGCAGTGAGCCAAGACTGCACCATTGCACTTCAGCCTGGGTGACAAGAGCAAAACTCCACCTCAAAAAGTAAATAAATAAATAAAGCACTTACGTACACCCATGCGCACACACATCCCTACTCTTCCACAATGAGTTCATGTACAGGTGGCAAAAACCAAATAATGTCTGTAGTGGAGTCAATTATCATACTAAAGTTGATTTCCTGGCTTCAACAATGTACTATGGATGGTATCACCAATGAACTAGGTGAATAGTATATGAAAATTCTCTGTGTGTGTGTTTGGGTTTTTTTTTGAGGGGAACGGGGTCTTACTCTGTTGCTCAAGCTGGACTGCAGAGGCACGAACTCAGCTCACTGCAATCTCTACCTCTGGTTTCAAGCGATTCTCCCACCTCGGCCTCCCAAACAGGTGGGATTACAGGTGCACACGCCACCATGCCTGGCTAACTTTTTGTATTTCCAGTAGAGACGGGCTTTCACCATATTGGCCAGCCTGGTCTCAAGCTCCTGACCATGAGTGATCCACCTGCCTTGGCCTCCCAAAGTCCTCGGATTACAGGCATGAGCCACTGCACCCAGCCTCTCTGTGCTATTTTTACCACTTCTTGTGTCTTAAATTATTTCAAAATAAAAAATTTTTTAAAATCAAAAAGTACAAAAGTGTACAGTACAAAGTATCTCTCCTACCCCTGTCTGTAGCTATCCAGTTTCTCTCCCTACAGACAACCAATCTTACTAGATTTGTATGTAAGATTCCAGAGGCATGTTATACATATGCAATCAATCATTTTAAAGTATCAGTTTCTCTAGTTTTATATAAAATATAGCAAAATACACACATTCTTCTGCATGTTTTTCTTCACCAACCAACATATCTTGGAGATTATTTCATATTTTTTAAAAGGCTGTGTGGTAATCAATTGTATGGCTATATTATTTAAGCAGTTCCCTAATAACGGGCATTTGGGTAATCATCAAAACTATGAGATTAGGGCCAGGTGTGGTGGCTCACACCTGTAATCCCAGCACCTTGGGAGACTGAGGCGGGTGGATCACTTGAGGTCAGGAGTTTGAGATAGGCTGGCCAACATGACAAAAGCCTGTCTCTACTAAAAATATAAAGCTGGGCATTGTGGTGCATGCCTGTAGTCTCAGTTACTCAGGAGGCCGGGCCACAAGAATCACTTGAACTTGGGAGGCAAAGGTTGCAGTGAGTGAAACGCACACCAGCCTGGGTGAAAGAGTGAGACTCCATCTCAAAACACAACAACAACAACTAGAGATTAAATTACATTCGTTATTTCATCTCATATGTGTTTCAGAGTACCTGCAGGTAAAATCTCAAGAATTATGTCAAAGGGTATGTGCATTTGTAAATTTGTAACTTGCCACCAAATAGATGTTGAACCAATTTACAATCGTATGAGTAATATATGAGAGTGTCTAGTGTTAGTTTTCCCACACTGTAACCCATACGTGTTAAACATTTTTGTTTCCTAATCAAATACGTGAAAATGGTATCTTAGTGTAGTTTTAATTTTTTGTTTTTGAGATGGTCTTACTCTGTCAGCCAGGCTGGAGTGCAGTGGCACAATCTTTGCTCACTGAAACCTCCGCCAACCTGGCTCAAGGGATCCCCCCACATCAGCCTCCCAAGTAGCTGGGACTATAAATATGCCCAGCTAATGTAGTTTTAATTTATCATGAATGAAGTTAAGTATCCTTTCTTATATTTAATGGTCATTTATATTTCATGTCTTGTCTTTTTGTAGTCTCCGCACATTTTTCTCCTGAGCTTATGTTTATTTTGTTTTGTTTTTCAGTCAGCTCTTCACAGTCCATCTCAAATCCATTACAATGTTCTTTTGTTAATAAAGTTCATGTGTCTAGAATTATGCTCATTTTATTTTTTTTTAATTTAATTTTTTTGAGACAGGATCTTGTTGTGCTGCCCAGGCTGAAGTGCAGTGGTGGGTTCATGGATCACTGTAGCCTCTACCTCAAGTGATCCTCCTACCTCAGCCTATCCAGCAGCAGGGTCCACAGGTGCACACCACCAGGCCCAGCTAATTTTTTGTTTTTTTGTTTTTTTGTTTTTTTTTGTAGAGATAGGGTTTTGCTATATTGCCCAGGCTGGTTTCAAATTCCTAAGCTCAAGTGACTCACTGTCTCAGCTTCCCAGAATGCTGGGATTAAAGGCGTGAGCCATGGCACCTGGCCTGGCTTTTGTTCATTTTATTCCCTTTTCCACCAACTCTTTCTGGACTACCTGTTAAGACCCAGTTCAAATATCACTTCCTGTATGACTTTAGGTAGATAAATGAGATATTATTAAAGAATAATTAAAGTTTAATTATGTAAACTGTGATAAATAGATAAGGACATATAAGGTATTACTATTATGAAGCTAAGCCTTATAAATTTTAACAATACCTGACTTCTACTGACAGACAACCCTTGATCTCTCTCTTACTTCCTCTATTTCTGGAAAATGAATCCTTAAGTCATCAGTATTGCTACAATTCTCAAGAGTTTTAAAAACCACCTTTGGCCAGGCACAGTGGCTCAATGCCTGTAATCCCAACACTTTTGAAGGCCGAGGTGGGCAGATCACTTGAGCCCAGGAGTTCAAGACCAGCCTGGACAACGTGGTGATACCCCTTTTCTACTAAAAATATAAAAATTAGCCATGCATGGTGGTGCCTGCCTGTAGTCCCAGCTCCTCAGGCGGCTGGGGTGGGAGGACCAACTGAGCCAGAGAGGCCAAGGCTGCCATGAACTGTGATCATGCCACTGCACACTAGCCTGGGATGCAGAGCAAGCCCCTGTCTCAAAAAAAAATTAATTTAAAAAGTAAAAATAAAAACCACCTTACCACAACTTTAAGAGAGTAACTGAGTTTGTATTTAAACAGAATGCTTCCCATTCCTTCTCTACTTTGAATCTGTGATCATCCTGGTGTTTGAGATTTTAAAGGCATAGGAAAAGTTTTTTCATTTTATTTATTCAAAGTCACTTATTCAGCACTTACCAGGCACCACACTGACAGTAAATAAAACAGGTGACAGACTTTTACCCTGTCAATACTTTATATGTATTTATTATCTGGATTACTCTATGGCCTTCCTGGGCCTAGACTTGCCTGTCTCCGTCCCACTTTCTATGTAGACAGCTGCCAGGTGTTATTTCTTAAATGTAAATCTCCCCATGTTGCTTCTTCAGTAATTTCCACTGTCTGCAGGATAGTCAACCTCAGGTGTACGTGGCCTTTCATGAACGTGTCATGGACAAAAAGGTCTCTTGCTTCATACCTTGTCACCATACCTTTACCTTCTGCCCACCACCTACACACTTTACTTTTTAAGGAACCCTCTGTGGTTTCTCACAAACTTTCTCACAGATTCTCAAGCTGGTCCTTTACCCTCTCCAATTGCCCCCTTTTTTTTTCAGACAGAATCTCACTCTGTTACCCAGGCTGGAGTGCAGTGGCATGATCTCGGCTAACTGCAAACTTTACCTCCCAGGTTCAGGTGATTCTTCTGCCTGAGCCTCTCGAGTAGCTAGGATCACAGGTGCCCACCACCACGCCTGGCTAATTTTTCTATTTTCAGTAGAGATGGGGCTTCACCATGTTGACCAGGCTGGTCTCGAACACCTAACCTCAAGTGATCTGCCTGTCAGCCAACTGCTTCTGAAACTGGCCACCTCCTTCAAGGTTTTTCTAAATACCCCATCCAAGAAGTTTCCTTGATTCCAAATACGGATTAGATACTCCTTCTATGTTTACCCCTCAAAGATTGGAACTAGGTTTATTGTATCTTTCCTTTCTTTCTTCCTTTCTTTTTAAGACAGGGTTTCACCATATTGGTCAGGCTGGTCTTGAATTCCCAACCTCAAGTGATCAGCCCACCTTGGCCTCCAAAGTGCTTGGATTACAGGTGTGAGCCACCACCCTGGCCGTATTGTATCTTTTCTAAATATCTGATTATAAAAGATACATATGTTTACTGAAAAAAAGTTCAGGAAAAGAAAAGTATATAAAGAATGATAAAATGTTAGAAAAATCACCTACTCTACCACAGGCAATCTGCAGTACTGATTGCAAACTGCAAAATTTCTCTATGTATCTCCACCTATAACTCCAAGTTCATTATACATACTGATTTGTAACTTCTTTTTTTTTTTTTTGGCTCCTTGCAGGAAACAATGACACTTTACTTTTTTAACACTGTATCTTACTATTTTTCTAGTAAAATGGGTACAAATAGATTTAAATCATTTTTATTGGTTGTTCTATTTTTCACTGTATGATAGTACCAACTAATAAACTTTATTGATGGGTGGTTAGAGTTCCCATTTTTTTGCTCATTATATCCTGATCTTAGGTTTATCCTAACATTTTAAAAGAGCGGTGGCGCACGCTTGTAAACCCAGTACTTTGGGAGTCAAGGTGGGTGGATCACCCTAGGTCGGGAGTTCGAGACCAGCCTGACCAACATGGAGAACCCCGTCTCTACTAAAAATACAAAATTAGTTGGCTGTGGTGGGGCATGCCTGTAATCTCAGCTACTCAGGCGGCTGAGGCAGGAGAATCGCTTGAACCCGGAAGGAGGAGGTTTCAGTGAGCTGAGATTGTGCCACTGCACCCCAGCCTAGGATCAAGAGTAAAACTCTGTCTCAAAAAAAATAAAAGCCTACCTGAGGTGTCATTGATTTTTAAATTCCCAGTGCCCACAAGAGTGTCTGGCATACAGTAACTGTTAAGAGTTCCATGTAAAAGATGAGCTTAAGTTTCTAGTTAATACTGGGAGTTCGAAAATCAGACTGCTGTCTACAAGCACTGAGCGGTGCATTATTTTCTTGATCTCATTTGCAAATACAGTCTGTTGAATTAACCTATTAATCAAAAAGTAGTATACTTGCCTTAAATTCTTTCTGGAAAAAAAGGCAAGTTTTGTGCAAACAAAACACAGATACAAAGCTATGCATAACTACGAGGCGTGAGTTCTTCCTGCCCCGGCAAAGGAAGGATGCATGATGACCTTCAGACTCCAGCACACTCACGGCGGGTCGCCGGCTCCTGGGGCAAGGAACTCAACAAGGAGACAAAGCTCGCACGGCTCCCACGGCGACCCGCAGCCTGCGCTTTTCCAGGCATGACCACTGGTTCTGAGCTCTTTTCCCCGGCGTCCACCATGGGGATTATGCCAGGTTTACGAAGGAGACAGGTGGCATCAGGGCCAAGCCTGAGGTTTCGCGCTGACCCCTCGCGAGGTCCAGCGACAACCCGTCGCTCCACCCCCAGCGCATGCGCAGAGGCGCCAGCCAACCCCCTCCCCCGCAATGGACTGAGTGCGAGGGTCCTCTGCCCACACATTCACTTACCCGCCGGGGAAATTAGAGGACGCGCAGCTTGTGTACTCCGGCCCCCAGGCCCCAGCACGCCTAAAAACCAACCCCCGGAGGAGCCCAGCTTACGGCCGCCCCACATCACGACAAACGATCCCACCTCTTTTCCGGTCCCTCCAGAAAGATATCCCCAACAAAAAGGTTCCGAGATCCACTTTCGCCGTCAGCAGCCGACGTTTTTCTTTTTTTTTTGAGACGGAGTTTCGCTCTTGTTACCCAGGCTGGAGTGCAATGGCGCGATCTCGGCTCACCGCAACCTCCACTTCCTTAGTTCAAACAATTCTCCTGCCTCATCCTCCCAAGTAGCTGGGACTACAGGCACGCACCACCATGCCCAGCTAATTTTTTTTTTGTGTTTTTAGTAGAGACGGGGTTTCACCATGTTGACCAGGCTGGTCTCGATCTGTTGACCTCGTGATCCACCCGCCTCGGCCTCCCAAAGTGCTGGGATTACAGGCTTGAGCCACCGCGCCCGGCCCCCTTTTTTTTTTTTTTTTTTTTTAGCACTCTGCTCCGTTGCTCAGACTGGAGTGCAGTCCCCGATCTTGACTCTCTGCAATCTCCTCCTCCTGGGTTCAAGCGATTCTCCATGTTGGCTGGTCTCGAACTCCTGACCTCGGGTGACCCGCCCGCCTCTGCCTCCCAAAGTGCCGGGATTACAGGCATGACCCACTGCGCCTGGCCTGCAGCCGACTTTCATGATTGTATTGTAACTGTTATGTATATTTGGCTATACTTTCATACTCATCTAGCAAATTGTACATGCAATGAAACTATGTTTTTACTACCATAAACAACTTTGGAGATCTTTATTTCTATATGACCACCTCAATCAGGCCTTTGTGCTGTGTGATCCTTTATTGCCATGCAGCTCTCTTTAACACTTAACAGATGTCACTTCAAGGACTTTTCTATTTCTGTAAACATACTGACCCTAATGCTAAGAATCATAAGAGTATGGGAGCACTTCTTCCCCAAGGGAAGAATCATTTCCCGTTTGAAGGCACTCAAATATCAGAGGGCCAGAAGGCCAAATTTAAAACTTATTTTCTGCAAGTGACAGTCTATTAACCTAGAGAGGGTATATAATATATCATGTAGCAGGAGGCTTTTGTGGCTTAGTCTAGGCAACCTTTATTAGAGCTGATCAGTGATAGTAACATTTTACTTCTAAATACACAAAAAGTCTTTCTTTGGGTAAGAACAATGACAAATCTCCTTGGTAAAGGGTTCTTGGGTTCTTTCAATTAGTGAAATTTACTGCTCAGAAATAGTATTTTTTTCCTTTGAGACAATCTCACTCTTGTTACTCAGGCTGGAGTGCAGTGGCATTATCTCAACTCACTGCAGCCTCTACCTCCCAGGTTCAAGTGATTCTCGTGCCTCACCCTCCCGGGTAGCTGGGATTAGAGGCGTATGCCACCACTCCTGGCTAATTTTTTTTTCTTTAAGACAGAGTTTGCTCTTTTTGCCCAGGCTGGAGCGCAATGGCGCGATCTCGGCTCACTTCCACCTCCCAGATTGAAGCCATTCTCTTGCCTCAGCCTCCCAAGTAGCTGGGATTACAGGCACCTGCCACCATGCCTGGCTATTTTTTGTATTTTTAGTAGAGACAGGATTTCACCACGTTGGCCAGGCTGGTCTTGAGGTGATCTGCCTGCCTCAGCCTCCCAAAATGCTGGTATTACTGGTGTGAGCCACCTCACCCAGCCAGGAATAGTTTCCATTTATGGTTCTTTGCTAAAATATTGACCTCCTCCTAAGAGTGGTTACACTTTTCAGTTGCTATGTCCTCTTCAGAGCTCTCTCCCCTTACATACATCATCATCTCTCCAAATGAAGGCAGAAAGCTCTGCACAAAAGAAAATGTAGCATGTGTTTTATTTATGGAAGTGACACATCCAAGGAAAAAGCAAAGTGCAAGCATGATTAAAGTTCCAGGAGCTTTGTTTAAAGGTACTTCCTTTAAATGTACCACATTTCACTGGGCTTCAGAGCCTTTCCGCTACATTTTCAGTTTAACAGGAAAGGGAATCAATGATTTGCCATAATGCTGACAAGCAGCACATCTTTTGAACACCCAGAACTAGTCTGGCCCAGATAAGCAAAACTAGCTCATAGTACTTCTTGCTACAAACATCAACAAAGGGATTTCCCAATGACCCTTAAACCTAAGCAGTGTTGGAAAGTTTTATTGGCTGTAATGCAGTATATGGCAATTGCTGGAGTTATTTCCCAAACTATTATTATGGTCTCACCCATAAAAGTCTACATATTTATTCTGCTATAAAACTTTTTTTTTTTGAGACGGAGTTTCACTCTTGTTACCCAGGCTGGAGTGCAATTGCGCAATCTCGGCTCACCACAATCTCCGCCTCCTGGGTTCAGGCAATTCTCCTGCCTCAGCCTCCCGAGCAGCTGGGATTACAGGCACGCACCACCGTGCCCAGCTAATTTTTTGTAATTTTAGTAGAGACGGGGTTTCACCATGTTGACCAGGATGGTCTCGATCTGTTGACCCATGATCCACCCGCCTCGGCCTCCCAAAGTGCTGGGATTACAGGCTTGAGCAACCGTGCCCGGCCTCTGCTATAAAACTCTTAATGTCTACTTTGTAATTCAATTTTATAAACTTTTTTTTTCATCCAAGGGTAAAGTGCTCCCGTGCAGTTTTGAAATGATAGGTGGCTGGACGCAGTAGCTCACGCCTGTAATCCCAGTACTTTGGAAGGCCAAGGCAGGTGATCACCTGAGGTCAGGAGTTTGAGACCAACCTGGCCAACAGGTAAAACCCCCGTCTCTACTAAAAAAATACATATATTAGCTGGACACGGTGACGGGAACCTGTAATCCCAGCTACTTTGGAGGCTGAGGCAAGAGAATTGCTTGAACCTGGTAGACAGAGGTTGCAATAAGCCGAGATCACACCATTGTACTCTAGCTTAGGCAACAGAGTGAGACCCCATCTCAAAAAAAAAAAAAAAAAAAAAAAATGATATACTACTACATCCACTCAGTTTAACTGGTAAGTTTTCACATTAAAAAAAAAAAACTTACATAAATTGGTAACTTCTATTTTAACTACCATAATCAGAACGTGGCAGATTTAACCAGTCTTTGTTTTTGTTTTTTTGGAGACAGGGTTTTGCTGTCGCTAGACTGGACTGCAGTAGCGCAATCGTGGCTCACTGCAACCTCCACCTCCTGGGTTCAAGGGATTCTCCTGCCTCAGACTCCCAAGTAGCTGATACCACAGGCGCATGCCACCACACCTGGCTAATTTTTGTATTTTTAGTAGAGACGAGGTTTCACCTTGTTGGCCTGGATGGTCTTCATCTCTTGACCTCGTGTTCCTCCCACCTTGGTCTCCCAAAGTGCTAGGATTACAGGTGTGAACCGCTGTGCCTGGCTAACCAGTCTCTTAAAAACAAAAACAAAACTCTCTGTACAAACCACAGTGCTTAAAAAAAAAAAACTCTCTGATAAACCTTTATGGTATAAATATAACCCATGTGTGCTATTTTAAAAGCTAAAGCCCATTTTCTCTTTTAAATTTTATACATTACAACCAAATTCTACTTAAAACTGAGAAACCTGGTCTGGTACGGTGGCTCAGACCTGTCATCCCACACTTTGGGAGGCTGAGGTAGGCAGATCACCGGAGGTCCGCAGTTCGAGACCAGCTTCGCCAACATGGTGAAACCCCGCTTCTACTAAAAATATAAAAAATTACACAGCTGTGGTGGTGGGTGCCAGTATGCCCAGCTACTCTGGAGGCTGAGGCAGGAGAATCACTTGAACCCAGAAATCAAAGGTTGCAGTGAGCTGAGATTATGCCACTGCACTCCAGCCTGGGTGACAGAGCAAGATTCCATTTCAAAAACAAACAAAAATAGTAACTATGTAGTCATGTCGCTTAACATGGGAACATGTGATAAATGTGTCAATTAGGTGATTTCATTGTGATGTGAACATCAAGTGTACTTATAGAAACCCAGACAGTAAAGACTACTACACAGCTCGGCTACATGGTATAGCCTATTACTCCTAGGCTACGAATACCATATTGAATACTGTAGGCAACTGTAACACAATGGTTTTGTGTATTTAAACACAGAAAAGGTACAGTAAAAATGCCGTATTATAATCTTATGGGACCACTTGTATATGTAGCCTGTCATTGACTGAAAATGTCATTATGTGATGTATGACTGTACTCAGTACACTTCAGAGGTTTCAACAAATTAAAATACATATAAAGTTATGTAAGGGAAGAAAAACTCATTCTAGATGTAAAGATTTCTATAAGGCAACACTACAGGGACTATGAACCTAATACAACTCCTGTGTAAAAATTTCCAAATACAATCAACAATTCTTTACTATTACCTTTCAGGTGTTTTAGGTAACAAAAAACTCAGACACTAAAAATAGACTACGTTTGCAAAATTTATCTACTTGGTATTACACCACTAGAAAGAGATGCTAAAAAGGTAATTTTATAATGGCAGAAAACATATACACTAATGAGATTCCACACCAATCTTTATTTAGAATTTGGGGCCTGAAACAAATCTTATAATCACCTCTTTCAAATTAACATTTTATTCCCTTAATGGTGTGGTTTACCCCCTCTCCACAAAAACAATTATAACTAATATACTAGAAATATTTTTTAATAGAACCTCTTAAAGAAGACATTTTCATTAATCCAGACCACTGAGTGCCTCAAAAATGGAATCTGTTAATTTTCTGGTGGTGTTATTTTGGAACAGATTTCATAACCAAATTATACATCTAATTAACTTATGTGTTAAGTTTTTGCATTCACATCCTAAATCATGAAAGCCCTACCTTATAAAACCTTACCACTCAAGGTAAGTAAATACTATATCATATGTCAAGAAAATAATGACTTCTAAATCTGCCACTAAAAGTCTGAAAAACCCAAATTTCAAATTATAACACTGATTTCTACTAATAATCACAAATGTCATGACGGCTTAAAAAAAAAACCTACAGATTTTAACTGATAAGCTTGAAAATTACAGAGTAAATAAAACTGTCAAACACTAATTTTGGCTCTGTTCTTATCTTGCCCAAAAATGTGCATATCATAGCCAACAGAATTTTTCTGTAGAATTTTATTTTGAAAATAAGATTTCACTTCAAGATCTAAAAAACATTTTAAGATATGAAAATGTTATACAACTTATCTATTACAAATTAATCAGATAATTCTGCAATTAGGTACACTGTGTTAGCTTGCCTACATAAAAAATATTGCACATTTTCCTTTTTTTTCAGATGTAACTGATGTCTAAACTATATAGAATTCCAAACTATTTTAAAGTTATTCTGTGAAATGTCATCTTTATAAATATCAGAACTAAATGCACTGTAAACAGCCATTTTAGTAAACATGCATTTATTCACAGTTGATTTATTTCCTTTAGATAAATGCATAACTGCTCAAAATTATATAATAACCTATGTAGAGGTACAAGGGCACACTATACAAATCTATTTCTATCTTCATTTTGAGGAAACACCGATCTTGGCAAAAATCTGGTATGATTTTTAAAACGAACTATTGCTGGTAAGAAGGCATACTTTAAACCTTTTCTGTGGCCTGCACCTGCTTTCTTTTTAAATTAAAATGTAAAAGCATTTGTTTTCAGAGATTCATTTATCACTTCATAAGTGATTACAGTAAAAAATGGACCCTAAAAGCAACTGAGTATTTTGTTAAAATGCTTTGAGAGCCCCATTCTACTTGTAAGTTATGAATGCCTTAAACTTTTAGACCACTCACTGATCATAATTTTAAGAAACAGCAAAATCAGACCATTTTAATGTAATGAAATTGACACAAACCTGCATAATACAGCATTCCTCCATTGATTTGAGGTCATATTATACTTTAAAAATATAAATAAATATATTGAATCATGAGTATTATTTCTATAAACCAAAAAATGTTTCAAAATGCTTCTAAAACAGAAGTGGGTGACTGTAGAATATAGTTCCAGACTTGACTATTAGTGTCAAACACAATAGTTCCTTACAAATAACTCTACTGGTGCACTGGCTTGATTGATTCCAGCAATTTCATTTTACAGGAGTGAACCACACTTTATACACACAGAGACTATATTACTTGAAAACCCTCAAAATAGGAAGAAAAGTTTAGAAAGTTGTCAAATACTTCCAAATGAAAATAAAGGTCTATTTCTAGCCCTCTTTCATACCCTTAAAAGTTGGAATCTAGCAAAAGTCCATGGGTACAATTTACAAACTTTGACAAACTATTAAGTAAAAACCATTTTCTTTGGGGGAGGTGAGAGAAGGTACCTTTAAAACCTGTTATACAAAATTCCAGCTGCCTTTTTATAAAAGTACGTTCCTTAGATTAAAACCATAAAATTAAGGTGCAAGAGTTTAACAAAAATGAACTAAAGAGCTTTATTGACATCACAGTACATTCAAGAATAATTTTAAGAACATTACAGCTGAAAGAGAATGGCATGTTTATAGTCTTATTATGCACTATTTTTTTTGAAAAAAAAAAAAAAAAAAAAAAAGTAATACAAAGAAATCCTATTAAGTAACTTGGAGCAGCATTGGAAAAAGTACACCTATTTACAGATTAAAAAAAAAAAGATCCTGGTTTCACCTACACAGCCACAATGTGCCTCTATAATGAGACAAGCCCTTAAAAACTCATGGAATTTTTTTAAACAACATCATGGCATTCTTGCCACGTCATTCCTCAGCGTTTACGACGAGGAGGGGTTGTTGATCTGAAAAAAAAGGGAAAAGACAAAATTTAAAAATAAAAATGTATTTTAGACTAAAAATCTGCAATTTTAAATAAATAATATTATATAGGATTTCTAACATTTAAGTCTATGATTATTTATCAAATACCAAACTGAGTTTATTAAAGAGAGAGAGAAAGGACACTTTCAACTTTGTATTAATTCAGTCAAATTTTTTAAAAAATCAGACAAAATACTTTAAAAAGTATACTACCTTGATCGGGACTTAGACTTGTGTTTGCGGCTTGCCTTCTTACCAGACCTTTGAGATTTCTCCATGGATCGCGATCGACTATGTTTAGGCTTCTTAGCCTTCTTTTCTTTGCTACTTCCTGGAGACTCAGAACTGCTCCTTCCACTAGAATCAGAGCCTGAATGTTTTTTACTGTCTTTGGTAGTACTTTTCTTACTATCCTGTCTAGAATCATGTCTTATGATTTTAACAGATATAGAACCACTCCTAGAAAATGTTCTTTCACTTTCTCGTTTCCTTTTTAACCTATCATCCTGGCTACTGAACTTAAAATCTTTTTCTTCCCTTTTTTGTTTCTCTTTTCTTTTATCCTGTTCACGTTCCCTTTCTTTGTCTTTCTTTTTCCTATCTTTATCTATACTTCGACTCCTCTCCTTTTTCCTCTCTTGTTCTTTAGCCTCACCTTTATGCTTATGACTGTTGCCACTAAGATTTCCACGTTGATCATCAATTTTACGCCTATCTCGACTCCTACTTCGACTGGAATGATTGGTTCGTCTATCCCTTGAGCGACTTCTACTCCTACGTCTCTCTCGGGAAGGACTCCGATTTCGTCGTCTTTCTCTTTCAATGCTATTTCTATTAGATCTCCTCCTATCTCTTATCTTTACCCTAGCTCTATTGCTCTCTATTTTAATTCTGCGAGAGTAGCTTCTACTCCTGCTACGTCTAGCTTTGATTGTTGGAGATCTACTCCTACTGTGTCTCTTTTTCCTTTTAGGAGAAGAAGACCGAGAAGAAGTGCGACTACTACCTGAGCTAGAACTGTATGAAGAGCTAGAGACAGTACTACTAGTACTACTAGTTCTGCTATTGCTACTGGAACTACCACTACTAGAACTTCCTGACCTACTCCTTCCTTGTTTTTCTTTTTCTTTATGCTCTTTTTTTGGTTCTAAAACTGATGTGGTTTCATTTGGAGTTCTCTTCTTTTCATTAACCACATCACCGTCTGCTTCTCTTGCTTCTAGTAGTGATAAACTATTTTGCTCTTTATGGATAAATTCATTCATCTCTTTTGTAACCCTTTCTGTTTGTTGCTTTTCTTCTGAAACAGAAAAAGACAAAAATACTAAGAAAATTTGAATGTAAAATTTTCATACTACCAAATTTCAAGCTACCAGACTATAACAATAGAACACTACTGTTCAACAAAATTACAATGCAAGAGATGTAAGTAACTCAAGACTTTTTACTAACCACATTAAAAAAGTAAAAAGAAACAGGTAAATAACACAATACACCAAAAATATTATCACTTCAATACATAATGAATTTTTTTAAAAAGTGAGATGTTCTCATTTCTAAGTAAAGTTTTGAAAGTTAGCATGTAATATATACCTACAGCACATGCCTAGCCACATTTCAAGTCCTCTATAGCTACATGTAGTTAGTCAAGTTACCCACCCTGGGCAGTGTAGCAAAATACAGTATCAAGATATAGAGGTGCATGTGAGGAAAGTAAGAAAACACTTCCCTTTTGTCCAATTAAAGCAAAATTGTAAAGGTAAATACGTGGTTTATAGAAAAGTCACTCAATAATTACCTTTCAAATTGTCCAATTAAGATTTTTCAAAGAAGAAATTCTAAGTAAATTTTCTCTTTTGTTATTCCTAGTATTATTATGTAAAGTATCTTAAGTAAAAACTTCTCTATTATCCTTCCATATCCTAGCTACAAATTACTTTTCAATAGTCTTACAAATATATTTTTACCATTTCAAAAGTCATCTTTTTTTATTTCAAAAATTTTAACAAGAAACAAAAATACCCTAAATAGCTTGGCTTATAGCCACTGCAATGAATGGCTCCTAAAACAACCAAACAAAAATTTTGACTTTAGTTTCAGTTATATCACATATTACCTAAAATCTAGCCTTTATTTTATCCTTTTACATTTTTAGGTTGGTTTAAAAAATAAAAAGAAATACAAAACTGGACCAAAATTAAGTCTAAATGGTATACTACACCTTCCATCTGTTTATCATGTAACAGCTGCTGTTCCTTTTCTTTTCTCCAAAAAGCTTCCTGTTTTTGCCGGATTCGATGCCGTAATTCCTCATCATCAGTGTCAGATGACTCAGAGCCTCTGTCACTCCTTTCATCTTCGCTGTCTCCTGATCCATAACCACCCAGTCCACCTGTGTGCATAAAGCTCAGTCTATCACATGAAAAAAATTATACTATGCACTAAAAACTTTTCAAGGTCTGAGAAGAAAGCTCATTTCTTTTTCATTGCCTTTTCCCGGAAGAATATCCTTATTCGGGGTGGGGAGAAGTATATATTCAGAAGCTTAAGGAGTTCACAGAACTTTCAGGCAAAGGTTACTTATTATCTTATTCTTTCTGGAATATTTCATATTTTTCTCACTGTAAAGGAATCATAATGGGTTTGTTGTACTGTCCATGCTAACCAACGAAACTTCTTAACAGGGCAGTAACAAAGCCACACTAAAGCTTAATCAATTCAATTACCTTAATGAAATTTATGATGATCCTGAAAATATTTCTAAAATTAACTTACATTGTTCAAAGTTTAGAAATCTCTAGCAGTTTTTTCCCTAAAAAAACTAGAATACTGTAATCTCCCCGTTACAGAAATATCATGGTGCTGAAACTACTCCCCACCCTGAAATGATCTAAAAAAACATAATAAAAGCACATGAGCATTTGGTTCTACCCACTTCTCTGGGTTCTCACAAAGATTAATTTGAAATGAAGAATTTGTGGAAAAGGCAAATTCAAGCTTTACAGCCTTGATAATATTCCATGCAAATAGTAAATTATGAACACATTACTACTATTATACTATGATAAGATAAACCCTTTCCTCTATATTTAAACTTGACTTGCTGCAACACAATCTATATAAAAGTTATTGAAAGCATTAGTGGATAGGTTCTTCCCTAAGGCATGTATGCAATAATTCTGAAAGTGAGCTTAGATACTATCATGGCTAAATTATGAATTAGTAAGTACAAACTATAGGTGTTCATATATAATTATATATAATGCAATATTGGAGCAATAAGGAAAGCCTCCAATATAACTTGCCCCAATAAACTATGAATTAACAATCACATTTATAAACTTCTCACTGTGAATGCGTTAGTCAAAAAAATAGTCAAACCTTTTTAGACACTGACATAACCCTAAGACCTAGGTTTTTATAAACTGAGTAGGACTAATACAGTTTCAAAACAGAACATGTAGAGAGACAATGTATGTGTGATTTTTTTCCCTTTAGGCCCTCTCACAAATATGAAAAACACTTACCGAGTCCAGTGAGGGAAGCCAGTGCACTGGACTGTGCCAGCTGTTTTGCAGGAGCTTTGTATCACATCAACAACAGGAACAACATGTTAACACAAATAGCCACGATTTCATAGTCATGAGAGTCTACGGTATTGTTAAATCTACTACTATTGCTGCTTTTTGGGGAGAGAAGAAACATTAAAAACATAACATTCATTTTAAACCAGTATCATGTCTGGCTTTGAAATTATAACTCTGATGTGAGCTGAAATTGGTTTATAATGAGAAAAAATGTTGCCAAGTATATCTGTATGTCTATTTCTGAGATTATGAAATATAATTTTTTTCAATACATTTTTAAGTGTTACTAAAAATACAGGGGTAGGGAATCATTTGCTTCTGTAAGAGATAACTGGTAAACTAAAAACTGTAGGTTGATAATTCAAAATTCATTAGTCAAAATAAACTGTATTAAAAGTCATACACCAATGCCATGGTATCTATAAAAAAAAATATCAGGTGAAATAAACTGAACATCAGGAATTTTCCATAATACATTTTAGAGGACAACAGCATGATTGCTAATTTGTACTCAGGAAGGTCAGATAAACAAAAATAGTTGTGTATAGCTTTAATATGGTGTCTACAAATCTAATCTTTAAGAGTCAAAACATGCAAGAGAATATTCGAATATCTGGTAGAAATCCAACAAGGACAACAAAAAAAGTCCAAAATAGTCATCAGAACCAAAATATCCCAGGAAAAGCAAAACCCAAAACACCAAAATATACCTTTCGTTGCTTTGCGGTGTGCGTCTTTGGCTACGTAATAAATTTCTTCATCTGTGACATCGAGTAGAATTTCTGTCAGAAGCATTTTTGTCAGCAACATCTAAAAAAAGAGTATTTTATACAGTATTTCTAATTACTATAGTTACTAGTAGTATGACATTTTCGAAAATATTAAAACAAAAAGCCTTTTATTTCCCCAGACAGAGTCTCACTCTGTTGCCCAGGCTGGATCGTAGTGGTATATTGGCTCACTACAACCCCACCTCCAGGGTTCAAGTGACTCTCTTGCCTCAGTCTCCCAAGTGGCTGAGACTATCGGCATGTAACACCATATCCAGGTAATTTTTGTATTTTTAGTAGAAACAGGGTTTCACCATGTTGGCCAGGCTGGTCTTCCACTCCTGATCTCAAGTGATCTGCCTGCCTTGACCTCCCAAAGTGCTGGGATTGTGGTGTGAGCCACGGTGCCCAATAGCAAAGCCATTTTATAAAATATTTTTAGACATCAGAGCAGCCATTCCAAGGAATAAACATCTTGAACATTTTTCTGTTATATCAAAACTTCAAAAAAATTCCAAAATCATATGGATCAAAGAAAAAAATATTATAAATATATCTTTATAGCATAGACACTGAATTCAAAACACTTTTTTCTTTCTTTTTTTCTGAGACAGGGTCTCACTCTGTCACCCAGGCTGAAAGGCATTGGCACCACCTAGGCTCACTGTTAACTTCTGCTTTCCCAGGCTCAAACAATCCTCCCACCATAGCCTCCTGAGTTGCTGGGACTATAGGTGCACCTCACTATGCCTGGCTAATTTTCTATAGAGACAATTTCTCACTGTATTGCCCAGGCTGGTCTCAAACTCCTGGACTTAAGCAATTCTCCTGTCTCGGCTCCCTGAAACTAAGATTACCCCAGCCTGAAATCAAAACATTTTAAAAAGGTCCCTATTAATAGAAGTTTCTACAAACATTTTTAGTTGAAAGGAGTATCTCTTCATTTAATATTGGTAGGCAGCTCTAGTTTCTATTTTTTCCTTTAAAATTGTTTCAAAAACAAGATGCAAACAATATAAATATGTCTACATAGTAAGAAATTTAACATTCTACCATTTGATACTCTTTCTCCTCTTCAGTCATCTCAGGCTCACTGTGTTCTTCTTGAGGAACTGGGGATGGACTTCTGGTGACTTTCCCACTACTTGCAGCCTCAACATTTTCAGTGTCTTCTTCTTCCTCATCACTATCCTATAAAAAAAAATAGTATATTAGTCCAAATCCATGTTTATAATGTAAAATCCTTATCTTACATATCAAAAATCTTAAACCCCAAATTAAAGTCTATGAAACAGAAATATGAGAGAAATTGCTATTTAAATTACATTTACTACAGATTTCCTTTGATAATTTAAAAAGTATAACCTGGGAAAAATATAAGATTATAAGATGGCTTAGGAAAATCAATTTTTTTTTTCAATTTTCTTTTTTCCTTAGTCAATTTTAACCTTATTTTATAACTACCCAGGAAAACATGCCCAGAGACTGATTTAATTAATATCTATTACAGATGATGGACCTGAAATGAGAGGCTTATAGAACTTTAGGTAACTGACCACAGACATATTATTCATTGTAACTTTACAGCTATATATTGAAGCTATTTACCTAAAGTTGCATGACTTAAAATGAAAAATCTCTAATCAGATTTGTCAGGGTCAGGATCTCAGCTGGCTCTGAAACTCAGTAAAACTTGCTTCTTTTTAGCTCCATAATGAACAGATAAAAATGAAGTCTACACTTCAGACTTAACAAATGCCAGCAGTTTGTCTTCTTTGTATGGTTTTAGGTTGCAGTATCCAGACAGCATGTGACCCTTTCCTTTGTCAAAGAAGTGTCCCCTAGTCACTTTTAATAATCTTACTAGGTAAAAGACAAGACAACCATCTAAATACTACTACTGAAAGGCTACTTGAACCAGGGGAAAAATATATGTAACACAATCCCACCGGCATTTGGGAGGAAAGAGGAAGGATAATTTCCAAACAAATTTTTGACGCTTAAAAAAAATCAAATTTGGAACACCACCATTTCATGTAAAAATTAAAAAAAAAAAAAAAAAGACTGGGCAGAGTGGTTCACGTCTGTAATCCCAGCACTTTGTGGGGCCGAGGTGGGAGAATCGTTTGAAGCCAAGAGTTCAAGACTAGCCTGGGCAACACGATGAAACCCCATGTCTACAAAATATACAAAAATTAGCCAGGAGTGGTGGTATGCACCTCTAGTCCTAGCTACTTGGAAGGCTGAGGTGAGAAGAGTGCTTGAGTCCATGAGTTCAAGGCTACAGTAAGCTTTGATTGTGCAACTGCACTCTAGCCTGAGCAAGAGAGTGAGACCCTGTTTCCCCAACTGCCAAAAAAAAAAAAAGATAACCTTTAATAGTGTTTTCCTGTTGTTTCTTATTTTTGTTAACAACTAGAATAAAAACACTGGTTTTGTATAGGGCTTTTGGGAAAAATAATTTAAGCAAAACTAATGCCTGCCAAAATCTAGTTATTTTCCTCTTCTTGAGACTTATTTCTAAAGCAGAAAATGGCTGTGGAAGAAAGACTTATTTCGTGAGTTGCATGTGGCTATCATATCTGTTGAATAAAAAAGTTTCTAAACCACTCAAGCCATCTAACTGATGAAGATTTAAAGATTTAAAATGTTGTCATACTTCCAGTGCTCATGTCAAAACAATAAAAATTATTACATCCTTAGGTATAGTTTAAATTTTCAAAAGAGGCAGATTTTATCTATTACTTATTTTAATGTAAATCTGTATTATAATCTATACCACTAGTGAGTCAGCTGTACCACAGAGAACAAAAACAGACTATTTATCAAGGTCTAACCAGCTCTCTGGAATGGAATGTTTATAAACTTACTGTCCCATTTTCTCCTTACTCTATCTTCAGTAACATAAATATAAAAACAATCCTCGGTTGGGCACGGTGGTTCAAGCCTGTAATCCCAGCACTTTGGGAGTCTGAGGCAGGTGGATCACCTGAGGTCTAGAGTTCAAGACCAGCCAGACCAACATGGTGAAACCCTGTCTCTACTAAAAGTGCAAAAATTAGCCGGGCTTGGGGGTGTGCACCTGTAGTCCCAGCTACTCAGGAGGCTCAGACAGGATAATCACTTGAACCCGGGAGGTGGAGGCTGCAGTGAGCTGAGTTTGCGCCACTGCACTCCAGCCTGGGTAACAGAGCAAGACTCTGTCTCAAAAATAAAATAAAATAAAATAAAAAACACAATCCTCAATATACTAATGAATGTAATCTTAGGAACATCACTCTAATACTTTTCTTTTTTTTTTTTTTGAGATGGAGTTTCACTGTTGTTACTCACACTGGAATGCAATGGCACAATCTCGGCTCACCGCAACCTCCGCCTCCTGGCTTCAAGCAATTCTCCTGCCTCAGCCTCCGAGTAGCTGTGACTACAGGCACGCACCACCATTTCCAGCTAATTTTTCTTTTTTTTTTGAGATGGAGTTTCGCTGTTATTACCCAGACTGGGGTGCAATGGCACGATCTCGGCTCACCGCAACCTCCGCCTTCTGGGTTCAAGCAATTCTCCTGCCTCAGCCTCCCGAGTAGCTGGGACTACAGATGTGCACCCCCATGCCCAGCTAATTTTTGTATTTTAGTAGAGACGGGGTTTCACCTTTTTGACCAGGATGGTCTCGATCTCTTGACCTCGTGATCCACCTGCCTCGGCCTCCCAAAGTGCTGGGATTACAGGCGTGAGCCACCGCAACCGGCTGATACTTTTCTATAGACTAAAATATCTATCTCACACAAACAAGATTATCATGTGGAGTTTCATGTTGGAGATTTTACTTACAAATTTACTTCTCTGAGGTAAACGAGGGCCATCCCCTCCTTCAGCATCTTCTGTGGCCTTTTTTTCTTTTTTAGACAACTGTGAACGTTGTTGTTCCATTCTTTCTTTCTCCAATTTCTTCTGCTTTTCACGTTCCATTTTTTCAAGACCTTCACGAATCCAAGCTGGAAGAGTCCTGCGTTTTACTGCATCTGTTTCACATGGGAAAAATATGTACAAGTCAGTTAAGTAAAAATATTTCTACAAACTTGTGAGTAAATTTTAAAAATATCCCATTAAATATCATGCTTTTCTTAAAAGCCATCACTTTTAACAGCAGGGAACACTGCTCTAGTGCTTACAATTTGCCAGGACATAATGAAATCATGTTAAACCATCATCTCATTAATCCTTACAGAAGCCCTCAGAGATCACTGTCTCCATTTTTTTTCCACAGGTGAGGAAACTGACACTCGAAAAAAATTAAGTAATTTGCTAGTAAGTTAAAATAGCAGTAAAGTTAGAATCTTCCTAAAATGCAAAAAGCAAAGATTTATTAATAAATGCTCTTAGGCTGGGTGCAGTGGCTCATGCTTGTAATCCCAGCACTTTGGGAGATTTCAAAATAAAATAAAATACAAAAACATAATCCTCAATATACTTAATGAATGTAATCTTAGGAACATCACTCTAATACTTTTCTGTAGGCTAAAATATCTCACACAAACAAGATTATCACATGGAGTTTCATGTTGGTGATTTTACTTAATCTCCAGTGGCTCATGCTTGTAATGCCAGCACTTTGGGAGGCCGAGGGAAGGTGGATCCCGAGGTCAAGAAATCAAGACCATCCTGGCCAACATGGTGAAACCTCCATCTCTACTAAAAATACAAAAATTATCTGGGCATGGTGGTGTGTGCCTGTAATCCAAGTGGCTGAGGCAGAAGAATTGCTTGAACCCTGGAGGTAAAGGTTACAGTGAGCTGAGATCACGCCACTGCACTCCAGTCTGGCAACACAGAGTAACTCCATCTTAAAAAAAAAAAAAAAAGGCTCTCATCCATTAAATATTGAATGATTTAGAACTTTCTAGATATAAAGTGGCACAAATACGTATTTGTCACTTGAAATAGGATAACTCTAAAATATTATTTAAAAATTGAAATTTTCTGCCAAAATACTTAGGCAAAGTGAAATAACCAGAGAAAATTAATCTCACAGCAGTACATCAGATGAACTGAGAATAAAAAGGATCAGAGATTAAACAATTAGGTTTAAAAGGAGAAGGGCTCAAATATCTGCATAATGTAATGAAATGCCTATAACGAAGAAAATACCAAAATGCTACGGCCAGCAAAAATTTACACTTCATCACAAAATCTGGAATTTAACGTAAAGATTTAAAGAAAATTATTCAAACCTTTTAATATTTTAGACCAGTATCATTTTGCAATTTTAAGCTTTATGACTATAAAAAACAGGGTATTAAAGTGTCAACTCCTAACATATCAAAGGTACTGGAACAAGTTAAGAAAACAAGACGTCCTTTTTATGATTAAAAAAGTCATGCCAATGTGGTCCACTAAACAAACTTAAATAGCTACCAATTTGTGGAGGCTCCTGCTTCACAGGAAGTGCAATAGGTGAACGCTGCCGATCCCTGAATGATGATGGCCTTTCTCTTCGATTCTGGGGAGGTGCTGGAGGTCCTGGAGGTCCTGGTTGCCAATAAGGAGGATGAAATCCACCTTGCGGTGGACCAAAAGCAGCCCCATGCTGAAAGAGTATTGCAGTTTATTTTTTCTTCAAATAAATACAATATACTCTCTGGGACACACGTGTGTTATGAACTGGGACAGTAGAAATCCATGTGTGCAGCACATCCAAGAATTCCATGGCTCTAATATCCACCGATACTTCTATATGCCCAAGAACCTAGGCTTACTTAACATTTTCTGGCTATGTAAATGCAAAGAGCCTTCTAAAAGCCAGCTAATAAGCTACTTCAAAGAAGTATACAAAATTTTTCATTCTGAATCCATTTACAAGCTAATCCTACCAACACTAAGGTATCAAATAGATATTAATTTTTCTGTAACGAGAAATACTTGTCAATTTCAACAACCTACTTACAGTGAATAAAAAGTGAACTAAACAACTTAAGCTGTTTGTATAATCTTGCAAGATATATTCATTTATAAGCAAAGATAGGTTACTGCATCATTACATTAAATATTTTTTGCAATTTTGCTATTTTCAGAGGCTTTTCTAGGCCAGCTGCCAATACAGCTTTGCCTTGTTTACATGGGATCTACCACATAAAAGTGGGGTAAGCAGAAGCTCCCTGCCATTATATTTCTTCAAACAAGATAAAAACTACTGTATCTGTATACCAAGTATACAAGCATGTGGATATTTATTAATGAGGATCATCATCTCAAGGTGAATATTATATATGCATTATCAAATCTACCTTAGAATCCACAAAATAATTTTTCTTTCAAAATTTTAAATTATGATAGCAGTTTATAAATTATTTGTAATCAGTTATTTCAAAATGACACCTAGCACTATAATTTAAGGGTAGACCCTCAAAGAGAGAATAAAGTAAATTAAGCCCAACAGATGACACTATTCCCCACAGAGTTCTATGTCCCTAGGAATGAATTGGAGGCTACAGAGGAAATTATATACAATTCCATTAACATGTCATGTCAGAATGGAAAAAAAAATGACACGAGAAAAACAGTAATAATTCTACATAGCACAAGGAATTACACTTAGGAAAATGATCTATGTTCATTTTTATTCATGTATTGACCATAATCTGTATTCAATTACTGTGCATTCTCTAGTCTTTAACATTTAAATATACCATTTTGAAATAGGAATTAGAAAACATCATATAGCTATCACACTTATACATTTTTAATTTTTTCAAAAATTTTCCCTAATGATCTTTTATACCATTTTCCTAATGAAATAAAAAATCAGAAAACAAAATTCTAATTATTTTAATACTCAAAAATCGATAACTTTTCTAAGACAGAATCTGCTTATTTGTACAAGTCTGAAAAATGAAACACGTATCTTAGGTATTCTTGATGAAACACTTCCAAAGAATGGATTACGTGCACATCTACAATATTAAAGCAATAAAATATCTTTCACCTGATAGTCAAACTGGTTCACTGGCCCCACTGCAAAATTATCGGGTGGTCCACCAAAGTTGTGATTGTTCTGGTTAAATATATGCCTGTTGTCAGGGGCAAATTCCCCACTGTCCTGACTGTTGCTGTCTTCAGAAGGAGGAACAATGTCCATTGGGCCTGGTGTTGGTGGCATCCATGGCTGATCTGGAGGGGGGTGTGGGGGTTGCTGATGCATTCCCCATTCTATTTAAGATTTAGGCATAAAAACATTCAACAGGGGGTTATAACAAAATCAACACAAAATTTTAAGAGCTCAAGAAAGATTTATCAGTAAACATACAGATTTCAAAAAAACAACTTACGACTTCTTGGTCAAATCCCTTTTGTCTATCTTAAAAATAAGCAATGAACTAAACTGTCATATGTAGTTCAAAATGAGCTAATTCCACTCTAATTCATATTGTAACCAAATGCCCAAAGTTATTTTTAACAAATATAACAATATCCAAAGCACTATTTTTGTTGAATTTTTCTATTTTTGTTTAGTAACAACAGCACAAAAATAATACCTTGAAGTTTTATATAATTTTTCTTACACGAACACATTTATCCTCACAACATCCCTGTGAGGTAGGGAGAAATCAGGTATTATTTTTGCCAATTTCAGGAGGGAAAATTGAGGCACACAGAGGTAAATCACTTGCCCAGGGTCACAAAGAAAGCCAGTAGAGTAAAACTAAGGGGTAGGGATGCCAGGGGAGTCATTTACGAACTTAAACTTAAGAATTATAACATTTTCAAATATGGGGAAATTTTGCTTTCAAGAAAGCTAAAAATGAACCATCTCACAGTATCAAAGACTAGAATATATGTTTTAAAAAGTAATAGCATGGAATTACTTCCGGAATTCTTTTGTTTTTTTTAAATGAGAGACTCATTCTGTCACCCAGTCTGGAGTGCAGCAGCGTGATCAAAGCTCACTGCAGTCTCAGTCTCCTGGGCTCAAGCAATCCTCCCACTTCAGCCTCTCGAGCAGCTGGGACTACAGGCATGAGCCTCTATGCCTGGCTAATTTTTAAGTTTTTTTTTAGAGACGGGGCCTCATTATGTTGCCCAGGCTGGTCTCAACTGAAGTCTCCATGCTTATAATGAGAAACAAAAAGCAGTAATACAGAAAGGAGGTTATGACTTCACCATCAGCATACCCAAATGTGAGGCTGATTCCTCCATAATTCCAAGTGACTATTAAAAAAGAGTAACACAAGCTATGGAAGACTGAATTAGCATCGAGAATCTACTTCATACTGTGAAATAAAACAAACAAAGAAAAAAGTAAAACACACAAAAACTTATGAATCTTCACTATCTGAAAAAAAAAGGGAAGAAAAAGGTAGGCGGGATGGTAGGGGCAGAGTATATTTGACAGACTAATTTGTCACACAGTGACACAATTTTTCTTTAATTAGAGGCTAGACATGTTTTACTCTGCCAGTGCTGCTTCAGAAAAGGCCAGAGGTTGCAATAGAGAGACAAAGAATGCTCTCTTCCCTAGATGCCAAGTGAGGTTTCCAGAGTGTTCCCAGCCCCTGTCAGCCTAGGAATGAAGAACCAAGAAAAGAATCAAACTGAGTGCCACAATGCTAGCAGACTGAGTACAGAATAATTTTAACCACAAAATGTCAAAGTCAAATCAAAATGAAAACTGCCTATTCTTTAAGGAGTATTAATTTTGAGAAGTCATAAAACTAAGCAAATTAAAAAACTTAATAATAATCTTATTTTTTAAAAGTCCTAAAATTTTGAAACTATAAACAACAAACCTGGTTGCCACATTCTGTTGAAGTTTGAATCCCCTTGGAAATTCCCATGATTGTTTGGACCAGATTCCATTGTAGACATATCTTGTCCATTTGGCATCATTCCTGGTGGTTGTTCTACCATGCTTTGCTGTCCTGAAGCTTCTCTTTGGGCAATCCAAGCTTGGGCCAATGCAGCCCAGTCAATCTGGCCTAATGTAAATTAACACTGAATTAAGCATTCAGAATGTAGGAGATAAAAGAATAGTGCCTCTATGTAAAATAAGCATCTCAATTATTCCATAGAAGAGATCTTAAATATTTTTGACAGAGAGGGTATGAGGGACATTAGAAAAAAAAAATTAATGAGATCTTAAACATTAAAGCATGCTGTGTCTGAAAGTATGCTTAGCAAATAACCCATATTCAGGCTAAAAATTAATACAAACTGGCTGGGCACGGTGGCTTACGCTTGTAATCCCAGCATTTTGGGAGACTGAGGCGGGTGGATCACCTGAGGTCGGGAGTTCAAGACCAGCCTGACCAACATGGAGAAACCTGGTCTCCACTAAAAATACAAAATATTAGCTGGGCATGGTGGTACCTGCCTGTAATCCCAGCTACTTGGGAGGCTGAGGCAGGAGAATTGCTTGAACCTGGGAGGCAGAGGCTACAGTGAGCTGAGATCGCACCACTGCACTCCAGCCTGGGCAACAAAAGTGAAACTCTGTCTCAAATAATAATAATAATACAAACTACTTAACACTTTCAGAAAAGAACTTGACAAAAACACTCTTAACCCATTTCTAATATTAATTCTTAAAAAATTTATCCCCTGCATCTTAGTTTACTGAGTTGTCTAAAATGTCATCCCTTAAAAAGAAAAAAGATCACGACAAAATTAATCTAACACAATCATTTCTTCCTTTAACATGTTCTATTTATCTTTTCAGGCCTGCATTCAAGCCTGTAGGCCTTGGATAAGTGCAGCTACCTAACTGTTCTTCCTTACCGTTGCCCTTCTTTAAGTAAGGCTCCCTTCTCTAGTCAAAACATGACTAGTGTAGTCAGGCTACAACTTGTTAGCCAATCTTTACTCAAAATTCATTTTCCCCACTATCTTCAAGACTCTCTCCCCAAGAGGTATTTTTTAAATTTTAAAATTTTTACCTATCTATCTATTGATCAATCGATCAATCATCTGGGTTATGAGCCTGGCTAATTTTTATATTTTTGATAGCAATGGGGTTTCATCATGTTGCCTAGGCTGGCCTCAAACTCCTGAGCTCAAGAGATTTGCCCACCTCAGCTTCCCAAAGTGCTAGGATTACAGGTATGTATGTGGCCTCTCAAAGTATCTATACTTAACATTTTAAGATCATTTAAATAATTTTTATTTTGCAAATCCACCCAAGAATGCATTAAGATCTAATATTATTAATAAAGTAAACAAAGTAGAATAAGATATAGTTTTCTGCATCTTAGCAATGAAGATTAAATAGGCATTCTCCTACAGTTTGAAACACTGGCAAAACCCCTATGGGGTTACACATGGCAATGAGCACCTGAAATTACCATGACTTAACAAACCTAGTTCTTTTCGTGAGAAAGTAATTGGACAAGTGAATAATGATATGTATACGAGATTATGCTAACTGTTTTAAAAAGGGAAAAGATAAATAATAAAACAATCAAAAGTGGCTTTGTTATAGTACTGTCCTACAACAGAATGATACATGGCTATTAAAAAAAGAAATAGCATCAGATTAACTCAGTGAGGGCTGAGCAACGTAAGTGGTCTTATGGATGAAACAAAATAGGCCACTACTTAGTAACTGTTAAAGATAAGTAATAAATGGGAGCTCCCTATACTCTTCTACCTTTGTATATGTGCCAGAAATAGTCCACAGTAAAAAGAAAATTTTAAATGATATAGCATACCATCTAGTTCAATATGATATAGATACAACTGTAAGAGAATTCACAGAAGTATGTTCTACTTAAGCAACATATTTTGACTTTTCTCTTTCTTTAGGAAAACAAGGACTAAATCAGTTTTAAAAATGTAAAATCTTCAAAAAGCTTTCTACCTTCTGACTCTTCCAAAGGGAAGTCCACTTTCTGCTATAAATGGTATGGCAAGTCTATTTATGAGAAAATTAAATTCTGACCATAAAATGATCCAATATACCAATCTTAATTCCATATCCCTTAACTCCATCATGTATTTCCTACCCATTTCCATATATCCAATCCTGCCCTTCCACATTCAATTTGTTTCCTTACTTGGATCCTGTTGGTGCTGGAATGACTGCATCCATTGTTGCTGGTTCAAGGGCCACTGCTGCCAAGGCTGTCCTCCTTGATCCCACATCCCTTCTTTTAAAATATACTTGATTTTCTATCTTCGATAAATTAAAAATAGTTTAAAAATAACGAGTTATTTAATCTTAAAACTTCACAGCAGAAACCATTATATGATGGCAAATTTATTTCATCAGAGGTCTAAAATTCTGGTCAATAGGTTGCCAGAGGCAACTAGAATTTTTAGGGTACCAAACAAGAATAGAAAATTTTATGTTAATACTGATCTCAGAATTTGATGGCAAGCATAACTATAATCAGTTTAGCAGAAAAAGACTTTAAAAACTAATTTTTGTACAATATAAATTTCTGGATATTTAATTATTTTGAAGATTATAAGAAAAAGTGCTTTCATTTCTCCCCAAACAAGATTCCTTTAAGATAGTAACCAAATAGCTTCAGCTGATGAAGAAAAACTCTTCCTCATAAATAATTACAGCTAATAAAAAAAAAGAATGCAGAACAGAATTAGAAAACTATCGTATTGCCAAAAGTAATAAAATATTACATTCAGGAACCCTCACAAGAAAAGTTGATGAGAAATCAGAAATTCAAAGGTTACCAAAATATCACCTCTACAGATTAGTAAATGTCTACTATGCTCCCAGAATCACTAAGAATTCTCATCAAAAATGTTTAAGTCCAAATGACCTTTTGGATTTTACTTCCAATATAAAGGAATTTGGGGACATAAAGAAATGAGATAAACAGTATAAATCTGGAATGTAAGACAGCCTCCAAGACCTGGTTTCTTAACACATAAATAGCACGAAAAAAATAGAGGGAAAGTACTTTATATTAATAACTATTAAATCTAGGAAATGGTATGGGGCAGGGAATCATCATGCTAGCCTAATTTTTCTGTAAGCGAATCTGAAAATGTTCCTAATAAAAGGTTTAAAATTCTTACAAGTCTAACATCTCTGTACTTTATCCAACACTGATACACAACCCTGTACCCTGTTCAAGAACCAGTGACTCATATAACCCGAGCATGGTTTCTTCTTTATTTTGGTATCCCGAGGCTTAGCTCATAGCAGGCATTTAACAAATGTTCACTAAATGAATCCCTGTAGATTGATCCTTTTCTGTACCACAAAAAGTAGGAAAGCCGGATAGCAAAAAAATAGGGACATTAACTCTAACAGGACAACTGGCGATTACAATCTAGGCTTTTAAAAGTTTCCAACTCCAGTCTTCAAAGAATTCCCAGAACACTATACACGGATAGTTCTATCAGCAGCAGAACCTAATCTTGCAACTAAAAACACTGTGAATTATGGGAGTGTATTTCTTTGTTACCTTGATTTACTTGAGTCAAATGGACCTGTCCTTCGAGTTAAACTAATGTAATCAATTGCAATGGCATTATTAGAATATGGCAAAATAGGCACTACATAGCACAAATGAGGCCAACAACTGGTTTGGGTATCAGTTCCAAGCTAAGTATACTTCTTCTAACCACTCTTCAGTGTTTCCTTCTTCCTCCACTTTTTGTCCTCTCCAGTATCCCAAGTACACCTTTAGAGCCTTTTAAGGCTAAACAGGTTATCAGAGCCCTTGAAAAGTAATTTCGCATACAAAGAGTTAATAAATAGAAAACACCCAGAAGAAATACCAACTGCTATTTAAACTGACCTCAGAGGTTCACTGTTCACCTTCTGTTTAAAACTCAGGTTGATTCAGACCACAGCTTCGAAGCATAGCAGCAAGATTATTTATGCCCTGGAGGGGGGGGAAAGTAGATGTCTGCTTATAGATTATCATGATTAGCATAAAAATAAATTCTAGAGATGTAACATGAAAGTGTGATCATCTCCAAGTTAGTCAATTTTCCTTGTGTTAACTTTATAATGGGGAATTATTTGTCATAATAAAGTTAAGGAAACTAGATACACCAGAAATGAAGAGGCAAAGCTTTTTAACATCTTTTTTTCTTTCCAAGTATCTTTCATTTAGTTGAACAATTCATTCATAATAAAAAAAAATCTCAAACAATTTAGGGATGGAGGAAAAAAATGAGTAACAAACATCTGAAATGAAATCTTGTCTACCTGTTATTAACTTAGATGAGACAAGGTAGTAAAATGTATTAATAAAATGTATTATAATCTAAATTTTTCTACAGAATTCTATGTTTAGAAATTAACATTAGCAAGGAGAGAACAGTTTGTTCCTGAAATGATTTAGTTTCCTTTTATTCAATCAACAGCTTTTTACACTTGACAGAAAGACAAATTTATCCATCTTTTGATCTTCAATCTTCAATAAGGTACTAGAAAGCATCTTGCACGTAGCAGGCACTAAATAAATACCAAATAAATAAACAAGCAGTTTCTAGCTCTTATTTTCTGTTTGGAGGCTAATGATAAGGAAGCTGTTAAATTATAAGCATCAAAAAGCTGGACTTTGGGAGGCCGAGGTGGGTAGATCACAAGGTCAAGAGATCGAGACCATCCTGGTCAACAGGGTGAAACCTCATCTCTACTAAAAATACAAAAAATTAGCTGGGCATGGTGGTGCGTGCCTGTAATCCCAGCTACTCAGGAGGCTGAGGCAGGAGAATTGCCTGAACCCAGGAGGCGGAGGTTGCGGTGAGCCGAGATCGCGCCATTGCACTCCAGCCTGGGTAACAAGAGCGAAACTCCGTCTCAAAAAAAAAAAAAAAAGCTGGAGTTAAGCACAGTTTGCTGTGCTTTCCAATGCTTTCACAGTTTATCAGAGTTCAATGCACAGTTATTCTGCCTTAAATTGTAAACTCATATAATACAGACATTATCAACAGCTCTACAAAGTGCCTACTGAAACTGAAAATGTGCACTTACTAAAACCATTTTAATGATGAAAATTATGTATAATGACTCCCTATCATCATTCCCAATCCATAAATTTACTTTTCCAGAAATTAAATAAAGGTTCTTTTTCTTACTCATGTTTAATGGTTGTCATAGACAACTTTTTTAGTTCCCTTTTTACGTTTTCTGGTCACCACTTGTCACCCATACTTCAGAGCACAGGCTCTGGTTTAGGATGCTTACCTACATCCGTTTGTTAGTGGTATAAACATATAAGGTTAGTGGTGTAAACATAAACAGGGTAAGTTATGCTCTAACCCTTTGTTTTCCAATCTGTAAAACAGAAGACCTAAATGTCTACACCCCAAACAATTATCATGAGGATTAAGTAAGAAACGCATAAAAACTAAGCATCAGAAGCTTCAATTCGTGGTGCTTCAATACCAGAACTTATTCATCATCACTTCTGGTAGCACTTTCAAGTTAACAACTATTTGGGGGTTAAAAAAAAAAAAAGATGATCAAGCCGACCCACTTCTGCTCAACTCCATTTTCCTCTCCAGAAGCAATCTAAAACTTACGGAGATTTCACTTTATCTCTGAAAGAATACTTTAGTCTAAATTTGTCTTCCTGTCCCTATTTCTCAGTTCATAGGTTGAAGCTATTATTATTATTATTGTTATTATTTATTTTGAGATGGAGTTTCACTCTTGTTGCCCAGGCTAGAGTGCAATGGCTCGATCTTGGCTCACTGCTACCTTCATTTCTCAGGTTCAAGTAATTCTCCTGCCTCAGCCTCCTGGGATTACAGGCATGCACCACCATACCTGGCTAATTTTGTATCTTTAATAGAGATGGAGTTTCACCATGTTGGTCAGGCTGGTCTCGAAATCCTGACCTGAGGTGATCAGCCTGCGTTGGCCTCCCAAAGTGCTGGTATTACAGGTATAAGCCACCATGCCCGGCTGAAGCTTTTATTATTAAACACACACACACACACACACACACACACACACACACACACACACTTTCCTATGCACAAAGAGACATTAACTTGCATATTTTCAAGAGTCTGATTTGTATCACCACTAATCACTTTTCTTTATGTTTAAAACAACCACTTCTACTTTTGCTATGTTTTCAGAAGGTTTTCTTCCCCAAAGTTTTAATGGAAGCTACTATTCAATTAGTACAATGTTTGGAATACTTAGGCTGAGAAAAGTAAAATTGTGAGAAACAGCAAAATTTGAAAAAAAAAAAAAAAAAGTGAAGAAGGTGATGGTAAGTTAAGGAAGTTTGAAGTTAGGGGCTATTTATTAAAGTGCTTTACTCAAGTCTGGAGCTGAGAAACATGATTTCTTTATAGAGGATGACTACTGGATGAGGGCAGAGGTGGAACATCAAATGGTTAGTCTTTGTAAAAGACAATTTACCATTAAGGCATCTTAACAAAACTGCACATGCACATCCCTGACACAGCAATTCCAACGCTTAACCCTAAACCATGATAGTGAATATTCATACCATAATTCAAAAATTGGCAGCATATTTTATTACAGTAAACATCTGGTTTCAGTGACATTTAATTAAAGGCAAGTTAAATAAATTAGAGTGAACCATACAGTGAACTATTCAGCCATTAAAATGAATAAGGTAGACTTTTATATACTGGTATGTATTGCTGTACAAACTGCATTAAGCAAAAAAATTTACATGATATAGCATGAAAAATGATGCCACTTGAGGTTTTTTCAAGAATGTAGTTATGTATAGACAATTCCTAAATCACAAAATCCTCTCAAAACTGCTAAGCTCTAAGGATTGGAAATAGGGATCAGATAATTTTAATCTTTATATCTTTCTGTATTCTTTGAATTTTTTTATTCTATGAATGTATATTTTTAGAAAAGTATAGATTTTTAAAGATACAAAGAATCAAATGAAGTTAATGAACATGGTCCGTAATGACTAGTACAGGCAGTAAAAATTATACAAACTTCTTCAACTGTGAGACATTGGACAAATGTCCTGTCTCGTTTTCTTATAGGAATTAGAGTAAATTTTTATAATCTCACTCATAACAGGTAACTCTGGTCATGAAAACTAAATTTGGACTTATACACAGCACAATGCTTCCTTAAGGGGTTTCATTAACTATTTTTTAATTAAAGAGTCAGATTATAAGTAATTTTATGGCAAGGATGTAAGAACACTACCTCTTTCTTCCTTCATCTTCACCATAAAATCTTCCCTACTAACAAATCTAAGAATGCAAAACCTGGAAAACAGAAGGAATACAAATGCACAACACACAGTAATCAACAGATACATATATTAAAATTTCACTATGGTTTAACGAAATAACATAACCTTTTACCAGTAAAAATGACATTTACATGTTGGTTTAAAAATGATTTGGAAAATGTTGGTAACTTAAAGATGGGCATTTACTACCCTCTTCTTTTCCACTGTTTGAAAGCTTCCATTTAGTAAGTTAAAGATGATGTACAATACTTTTTATAGAGGGTCTGCATTAAATTTTCATGTTTTTGCCTTGGCTAAAACAAGAATCTTCTTTAGGGGAGAGGAAACATTTAATAATAATTTAAATTCTCCATAGTGTCTTGTTCATATTAAGTGGTTAAATATTTTATAATTCACTGAAATGTTAGCAAGTAAACACATTAATATTCATCCATAAAAAAGATATTCCAATATTGCTACTGTGATTTTATAACATCAAAAATTGATTCCAATTTATTCACTCTTCCTTTAGACTTAGTTTTAAAGTCTGTTAGGCTCGACTTTTCAAGTTTGAAGAAATACGATTAGTGATGGGTAAGGCTGCAAGACTTTCCTAAGAGTACTGCTCTTTATGCTATTTCCCTATATGCTATTCCCTTGGAAAACAAATGGGGTCTGGGAAGAACAGAAAGATTAATAACCAAGGTTTGTATCAGATCGTCAAAACTATCACACACTGCTGCAAAAAAACCAACTGATAGCTATCACCAGTGTTATGGAATGAATTGTGACCCTGTCCAACAGATACACTGAAGTCCTAACTCCTGATACTTGTAAATATGTCCTTATTTGGAAATAGGGTGTTTGCAGTGGTATTCCAATTAAGATGAGTTCATATTTGACTGGGGGTACTTTATTAAAAGGGAGACATAGACATTTACAGGGAGAATGTAACATGACCACAGTGGCAGAGATTGGAGTAGATGGCTCTATAAGCCAAGGAACATCAAGGATTGACAACAACTACCAAAAGCTAGGAAGTGACAAGGATCCCCCAAAAAGCCATCAAAGAGCCTGGCCCTACCAAAACCTCAATTTCAGACTGTTAGCCTTCAGAACTATGGAAGAATAAATTTCTGTTGTTTGAAACCAGCCAGCTTGTGGTAATTTCCTATGGTAACCCTAAAAAACTAATACAACCAGAAATGACCATCATTTATTTTATCCTTTTCTTAAATGGATCTATATTAGAACTTCATTGCTTTTAAATAACAATTTGTTTAAATAACAATCATTTATTTACTTATTTTTGAGACAATCTCACTCCATCACATAAGCTGTAATGCAGTGGCATGATCCCCACCTCCCAGGTTCAAGCAATTCTCATGCCTCAGCCTCCCAAGTAGCTGGGACTACAGGTACATGACACCACACCCGGCTAATATTTGTATTTTTAGTAGGGATGGAGTTTCACCATGTTGCTGGCCTCAATGATCCACTCTCCTCAGCCTCCAAAGTGCTGAGACTACAGGCATGAGCCACATAGCCTGGCCAAAATGACAATCATTAATATTTACAAAAGTCACTCAGAGACTGTGACAGAGATGGACAAGAATTAAAATGTGGTATTTTAAAGTCCTTGAGCATCAACTACAAAATCAAAGAGCTGCAGAAACACACCTATCATTTGATGCATAGGATGAAATATTTCTACATCAACCACAAAGCTGAGGAGCCAGAAAATACCACAATCCTCTTCACCCCCGATATTTCAGTCTTATATACAAGATGACTGACCTCAAAGTCAAAAAAGAATTTAATTCAGGTTAGGAAGAAATGGCACTAGTAAAGATTAATCTTATAATCATTTGAAATATGGAAAACAAAAATTTTGCTACTTTATGTTACACACATTTTAGTATATACTGAAAATACTTGCAGTTTGTAGCTCAAAAGACATATTTTTAAAAGTGGAAGCCAAGCATCATGGCTCATGCCTGTAAATCCAGCATTTTGGGAGGCCAAGGTGGTTGGATCATTTGAGGCCTGTAGTTCGAGCCCAGCCTGGCCAACATGGCAAAACTTCTGCTCTAATGAAAATACAAAAATCAGCCAGGCATGATGGTGCATAATTGTAGCTGCAGCTACTCGAGAGGCTGAGGCAGGAGAATCGCTTGAACCCAGGAGGTGGGGGTTGCAGTGAGCCAAAACTGTGCCACTGTATTCCAGCCTGGGCAAGAGCGAGACTCTGTCTCAAAAAAAAAAAAAGAAAGAAATTGGAGAATTGAATAGTTGGTTATAAATATCCCCCAAATTAACAATAATTTAAAAATATATGAAGAGAGAGGGCCCAAAATGATGCCCTAGTAGCAACAAGCACACCTTTAATATCACTCAATAAAAGGAATCAGGGATCCTTAAATAGCTGATTCTAGGACTGGACAGGAAATATAAAAGATGAGTCTGGAGCATGTGTACTGCCTGGAACTAATAAAGTGCTAAAAAAAAAATTGATGGGAGCATGTCAAAGGAGAACAGTAGACAACTCAAAGAGCTGCCAATGGCCAAAGCTGTAATAATTTGAGCAACAAAATAAAGAAGTACTGGATTATAATACAAGTTATGTAATAAAAATTCACAGGCCCATACTGATATGATAAATTAACAAATAAATGGGAGGGAAGAGACAAAATCTCCCACAGAGAATTCCAAATAAATTATGTAAATATTTCACCCTAACTGAGGAAGAGTACAACTCTCCATTCAGTAAGCATGGGCTCTGCAAAGTAACTTCCTTCCAAAGAGAACAGGATAAAAAAGGGTAGCAGAAATAACTTTACAGTAGAGCAATCTAATAAACACTACTCCAGACAATCAAGGTCAGTATCAATGTGATAAATCAACTTGATAGTATATACCTTGATAGCATGTGCTGAAAAGGGCATGTTACTTCTGTGATCTTCCTCTGATCTGGTCTGTAACACCATTTTAGTCATGAGAAAAACATCTGGTAAATTCAATAGCAGGGTACTCTACAATACACGTGACCCATACTCCTCAAAAATGTGAAGGTCACTGTATTAATTTCATATGCTTGCCATAACAAAGTACCCAACCAAGACTGTGTGGCTTAAGCAACAGAAATTTATTTCCTCACTGTTCTGGAGGCTTATCACCTAAATCTATGGGGTTGATTTAATTTTGAAGCTTCTCCTTGGCCTGTAGATGGTTGTGTTTTCCCTATATCCTCACGTGGTCCTCCCTCTGTGTCCTATTCTCTTCTTACAAGGGCACCGGTTATTAATATATTGGGGTAAGGTTCACCCTAATGACCTCATCTTACCTTTCTAAAGACCCTTTCTCCAAATACAATCACGATCTAGGGTACTGCGGTTAGGACTTCAAGATATGAATTTCAGAGGGGCACAATTCAGCCCTAACAGTCATCAAAAACAAGGAAAGCCTGAGAAACTGTCACAACCAAGAACATACAGCCTAAGAACATCAACTAAATATAATGTGAGATCCTAGCTGGGATCCTGGAACAGAAAAAGGACTTTAGGTAAAATGTGAGGAAGTAGAAATAAACTATGTACCTTAGTTAATAATTTATGATTATTGGTTCATTAGTTGCAACAAATGTACCACACTAATATACGTTAATAAGAGAAACTGTGTGTAGTGGGGACATCCTATGTGCTCAATTTTTATGTTAAAAAAACCGTTGTAAAAAATAAATTCTATTAGTAAATTTTAAAAAACTCTCTCAAGAGCATCTTTAAGAACTGTTTTGTTTTCCCTATAAGCCCTTTGCCACTTTAAAAAAGAATTCCACAAGTAAAATCGTTAGCGTTATGGCTTGTTTCTGTCGTTTTTGCCCTGCTGCACTCAAATGAGGAATTCCAATTTTATTTTGTTTTATTTGGGGGCAGGGCGAGGTAAAAAGATGTAAATGATTAATGCTGAATTAAACTCTTAAGCTAGAATGTTAATTTAACAACTCACAAACAAATCTGTCTAGTGCTCAATTTGTTCAGATGACGATACAATCCACCATAGAGTAAAAAACTGACATTATCGGATACTACCTGTTCCCTTCGTGAAGCTTAACACATACAATCCATCATTAAGAACAGACGAAAAATACAAACTAAAGAACCGCGCCTGCGTAGTCGGAGCCTCAAAGGGTATAAGCTCCAGGTCGGGGGGCCCCGCCTCCTCCCTCCCACAAGCCCCCTCCCCACAAGGGGGTTCCCACTGCGCACGCGCAGTGTTTAACGGCCGATCAGGAACCCAACAATTAGTCCCTTCTCGTCCGAGAGGAAACTGTTAGAGGATGGGATCGTGAGCACTCTCTTGAACAGGGACATTTCTTTTTCAGCGAAAGTACCGCTCTGATTTACCAAGTCTGGCAGACGGCGCCGGTTTAAGGGAATGAGGGTCCAGCGGTCGCGCCAAGCAGCGTACGCAGCCTATTTTAAGTTATGCTACCTTCGCCACAGAAAACAAGAGGGTTGTAATGGTACGGCAAGTGCCCACGTGTAATTTTTCTCCATCACTTACCCACTCTAGTTCGGGAACACCCTTGTCGCCGCCGTTCCGGTAATACCTCTCCAACGCTTTCGATGCTTCCACTTCTCGGGAACAAGACAAGATGGCGCTCGATTTGTCTCACCCGGAAGTAAATAATAATAACATCCGTTCGTCATCTGAAGGCAAACCATATCTCATCCAGGTTTGTGAACACGTGATTGTGCCGATTGACATTTCGGCGCCATTTTTGTTACGGGCAAAACCATCTCTACTCGGTCCAGGCAACTGAACCATTCCTGCACGTTACTTTTTAGTGTAGCCAGCGCCATGCCCGACTCATCTCTTATCTTTATAGTGGACGGAAAGCCAAGAGCGTAAGTGTTCTACACATAGGGCGCCTTCACATTTTTTACTTGAGCAACGTGATCTTTCTTCAAGGGGAAGTATGCTCTCTCCTAGAAACACTCCCGCCTTGGAGAAAGGGTTGAGTTCGCAACTCGACTTACAGACTACGGGGGAACTGCAGGGTCAAGCCAAACCAACTCTGGGCAGTTGCTTAGTGCAAGTTGCTTAGTGCCCTGGAAGCGGCATTTCAGGCAGTCCAACATCCGGCTCAAACCTTCTCAGAGTAGTATTCCAGCGCTCAAGTGAGAATATTCCATTTTGGAATATTCTCGCTAGAGCGCTGCCGAGGGTTCCGCCTCAGAGAAACAGGAATTTGTGAAGGTGACCAGTCTGGGTCGGAGCGAAAGTAGAGACCTTAGTTGACCCCGCTGTGTAGTTCTCTTTGTTAACCTCAACACATCGCGCCCCCTCCCGGGTACACTTGTTCATCTCTCTTCAGCTTAACTAGTCCCGATATTTCATTCTTTATCTGACCTTTAGGGAACAGTGGCGGGGAAGTCTGGTTTCCGTCCTGCTGCTTTCCTTCAGCTGCAAGATGGCTTCTCAAAAGGACATGTGCAATGCCATTCCTCAAAGAGAATAGGTTGATTCTACAGTGTTTTTATATGAACAACGTTCAGGTATCGAAAGTATCAACTTCCAGGCTAGGAGCTACAAGTTACAAGATAGATAAAAATGTTCCAAAGATACAGTATTTGTTAACTACGTCTTGGAAAGTGCCTTTCCAGAGAGCAACATGAAAACTTTTGCGTGGCTGCAGAGGGTGTACGAAGTATCTAAATTATTTCTAAATTGGCAATTGTGCAAAATCAATAGCAAATTACTGTAGAAACAAAGTAGTAAGAGCACAGCTAGATGGATAAAGATACAGATGTGAAAATACAGATATCCTTTGCATGAAAATTGAGTTTTCCTTAGCACTGGAAACGAGACACTCCTGAATTAGCATTAGAATAAAGCCATCACTAGCTAACCATCTGCCTTTCCTCCAATCCAGGCGGTCCTCAAAATAAATTTTTATCTTGTGAGAAACCTTCATTAATTACACCTGACAACTTTTTCTTATAATACCTGGTCTAGTGTATTCAGTAGCACCCACCACACACTAGTATGTGGGTTTTAAACCTTCTCCTAGCTCAAAATTCATTATGTACATTATTTGCCTCCCTGAAAGAGTAGGGTTCAGGAAAAGAGTTGACTTATGAAAGCTGAAACAAGAGGGACTAGAGGCAACCAAAAATGTCAAGCTTCCCAGGGTTGGTTTTTCAACTGCTAGCAGAAGATAAACTTGAGAAAGGTTTTTTTTTTTTTTTGAGACGGAGTTTCACTGTTGTTATGCAGACTGGAGTGCAGTGACACTCGGCTCACCGCAACCTCCACCTTCTGGGTTCAAGCAATTCTCCTGCCTCAGCCTCCCAAGTAGCTGGGACTACAGGCATGCACCACCATGCTCAGCTAATTTTTGTATTTTTAGTAGAGACGGGGGTTTCACCTTGTTGATCAGGATGGTCTCGATCTCTTGACCTCGTGAACCACCTGCCCCGGCCTCCCAAAGTGCTGGGATTATAGGCGTGAGCCACCGCGCCCAGCCTGAGAAAGCTTTTAAGTGACAAAGGATTATTAAAACTCAGCCTTGCAACAAGGATAACTAGGGATGTAAACTTTATTATCCATTTTGGAAAAATTTTCAATGAATTAATTAAAGATGTGAAACCTTCGTTTTTTCCTCTTGGGAAAAAAAGCCTGAGGGTTAAAATGTAATTAAGAGTATGTCTCTCCCATCTGGATGTGGTGGCTCATGCCTATAATTCCAGCACTTTGGAAGGCCAAGGCACACAGATCATTTGAGGTCGAGTTCAAGACCAGCCTGGCCAACATGATGAAACCCTTCTACTGAAAATAAAAAATTAGCCCGGTGCGGCAGCGGGCTCCTGTAATTCTGGCTACTCAGGAGATTGAGGCAGGAGAATCATTTGAACCCAGGAGGTGGAGGTTGCAGTGAGTGGCGATTACACCACTGCACTCTAGCCTGGGTGACAGAGCAAGACTGTCTCAAAACAAAGAGTATAGTATGTCTCTTCTGTCAAATCTTGCCGTAAAGTGTGGGGACAGGAAAGCAACGAAATATAGCAAACCCAAGAACTGTGACAAAACTGTGGTATGGTTACTAGCATATGAATCTATTTACAGATAAGAATCCTACTAAAATTTTAAGAATTGTATTAAAAACACACACAAACCTTGGCTAAAAGAACCCATCTTTCCTTGCAATTAGGCAGGGGCATGTGATTACTGCTGGCCAATGGGTTGTCAGAGACACATCCAAGATGAATAACTTGGCCGGGCGCGGTGGCTCATGCCTATAATCCCAGCACTTTGGGAGGCCCAGGCGGGTGGATCACGAGGTCAAGAGATCGAGACCATCCTGGTCAACAAGGTGAAACCCCGTCTCTACTAAAAATACAAAAATTAGCTGGGCATGGTAGTGCACGCCTGTAGTCCCAGCTACTTGGGAAGCTGAGGCAGGAGAAATGCTTGAACCCAGAAGGCGGAGGTTGCAGTGAGCCGAGATCGTGCCATTGCACTACAGTCTGGGTAACAACAGCGAAACTTATTTTTTTTTTTTTTTGAGACAAAGATGAATAACTTAATTGCTAGCGCAAGATCTTTTATTCTTCTGCCACAATGGAGAGACCTCATGCTGAAATGGTACAGCCACAGACTGAATCAGCTTGGATTACCAGAATCGCCAGTTGGAGAACAGTTGCCTTTGCAGACTGTGCAGACTCAGAGTGAAATTTGGATGTGCCAGAAATAACTTTTGTGTTAAGTCACTGGGATTTTGGGTTGTTCTGCAGCATAACCCAGCTTATCCTAATACATATGGGAATGCAAACATCTCAGATATTTATTCTTCGCTGCAATTTAAAATATGTATGAAATGGCTTCAGAAGGGTCCATAAATCATATAAAAATTAAAGAGATACATTTTTTTCTGGAACATACAGATGTTAAGAATTAACGGAATTACCTCATTCTTCCTACAACACTCAGCTTTCTCTTCAGGGACTACCAGGACTATTATCACCATGCCTTTTTTTTTTTTTTTGAGACAGAGTTTCGCTCTTGTTACCCAGGCTGGAGTGCAATGGTGCGATCTCGGCTCACCGCAACCTCCGCCTCCTGGGTTCAGGCAGTTCTCCTGCCTCAGCCTCCTGAGTAGCTGGGATTACAGGCACATGCCACCATGCCCAGCTAATTTTTTGTATTTTTTTAGTAGAGACGGGGTTTCACCATGTTAACCAGGATGGTCTTGATCTCTCGACCTTGTGATCCACCCGCCCGGCCATCACCATGCCTTTTATCTCTAGGATATCTTCATCCCCTGTACCTTAATTTCTACATGACCTCATAGGGAGTCCATATTGCTTGATTTTTCTCCATATTACCATTAGCATAACTTTTCCTTACATTCTTAGAATGTCTATTTCCTTACCTCTTAGTTTCTGGCTCTTAGGTTGACTGCTGTATCTCTAGTACCTACCACATAACAGGCATTCAATACTTATTTTTTTTGAGACAGTCTCACTCTGTCACCCAGGCTAGAGTGCAGTGATGTGACCTCAGCTCACTGAAACCTGTGCCTCCTGGGTTCAAGTGATTCTCCTGCCTCAGCCTCCCGAGTAGCTATTATAGGCATGTGCCACCACACTTGGCTAATTTTTATATTTTTAGTAGAGACAGGGTTTCGTCATTTTGGCCAGGCTGGTCTTGAACTCCTGGCCTTAGGTGATCTACCCACCTCAGCCTCACAAAGTGCTGGGATTACATGCATGAGCCACCGCACCCAGCCTAACAAATACTTATTAAATAACCAAACGAATACAAGATGGTCTCTTCCATCATAATCTCAAAGAGCTTCATGATCTGAAAGAAGTTTAGACAAATGGGTAGGCAAAATATTTCCGAATTGCTGGTGCAAGACCTTAACTTGTCTTAATAATTACCCTGTCTAAATAATAGATCTTTTAAGAAACCCCTGCAAGTAAGATGATCATCCTTGGTAGATACCGAAATCTGCGTGAAAGTGGCCCATAATAAGATATTTTGTTTTGAAATAGAGAATTTCTAAAATATGTAGGATATTTTGAATACAGCTGAGAAAGCTGCTATGAACTGAAGGTTTATGTCCCCTACAACATTCACAAATCCTCAATATGACAGTATTTGGAGATAGGGCCTTTGAGAAGTGATTAGGTCATGAGGATGGAACCCTCATTAATGGGCTGCATAAGAGGACCCACAGAGATGACTTGTACTTTTGCCAGGTGAGGACACAGCAAGAAGGCACAGTCTTGATGAGCAGAAGTGGGCCCTCACCAGACCCCAAGTCTACTGGCACCTTGATCTGGGAATAGCCTCCAGAATGGTGAGAAATAAATGTCTGTTAATACATCACCTGGTTTATGGTATTTTGTTATAGCAGCCTGAGTGGACTAAGATACAGTGTTGATAGATAAAACATTCTGTCAATCATGTAAACTGCAAAAATTCCAGAACCAATCTTGTGACATAAGATAAATAAGAATTTAATATTTATTTTGCATGTTTTATACAGTAACACCAAAATAATGCTCAGTAAGTTACACAGCTATTTTCTAGAAACACAGCAAAAAAAAAGAAACTAGGAATAACAGTATAAATGTATTACTCAAAATTGAAAATATAGTCATCTTTAAACAGATTCGAATTCATGATTTCTACATAAACTAAAACATTATAAATATCTAGAAATAATCTTTTTTAACAATGCACTAAATACTATCTAAAGGCTTGATTTTATTGCACATATTTGGTTTAGGCTTATTTGATCAGTACATGCAGAAAAATAAATTACAAACATGAATTTTTAAAAGGAATCAGGATGTTGTTTTGTACTACAAAAATCAGATGAATGTTGATACATTTCACAGCTTAATCTTCAGAAAATTTTTTTCAGCAATTGCATAAAATCACCGATTGAAATCATCACACATGCAAGCTAAGAACTATTAAATATAGTAAAATAGCTCTGTTGGTATATTTAAAATAAGAGAACAGACATCAACTACTCTGAATTGATACCAACTATCTTCTTTTTATTTACTTATTTTTGAGACAGGGTCTCACTCTGTCACCCACGTAGGAGTGCAGTGGCATGATCACAGCTCATTGCACCTTGACATCCTGGGCTCGAGCAATCTTCCTGCCTCAGCCTTCCAACGTGTGAGCCACTATGCCTGGCTAATAAATTGATACCAACTATCACTCTTCTCAGCTACCTAAAAAGGTGGTCTTGGACAAGTTTTTAAAACATTAAATGATACAATATTGGCACATAATCAAAATTTTATCATTTTAAATTTCAAAAAAATTAGGGGTAGCTGGGGTAAACCAGTTTCTAAATAAAGTGAATGAAACTTATTTTACTTTAAATTCATTCAAACACTATGGTAGTTATGTTGATGATATGTAAACATTCTTATTTATGCTCTTTCCTGCGGTGATCCAGAAACTATTGTTTTTATAGTAGCCCTGCAATTTACTATCCCTGCAAATGTGCTTTGGAAATATTCAAAATAAAAACAAATTTTTTAATGTAGACCCATATGTAATTTAACATGCTTTCTCTGTTACAAAAGCTATCTTTAGAAAATTCTTAAGTATCAAAAATCAAATTTATTCTATTTTCAGAAGACAAGGAAAAAGCACTCATAAATTCTAGCCCATAAAAAAATAGATTTCATAATTAGCTTATTTAACATGAAGAAAATGAAAATAAAAACATCTTACTTGCATGTTACTTATGGAATAATGTCAAAAATCTATGCAGATCTTTCCATTTTAAATCATGTTAAAATACTGTCAGCACTGTGACCGACTCATAGTAAGTATGGGTATCTATCCAAATATTTATCTTTGAAACAAGAAACAAGTGACTGTCCCATGAAAAGTGCATGCCTCTTAACAGTATCTTTCCTGTAAGAAAAATTAGGTTACCTATATTTACATTTGGGCGGTGGGAGGGTGGCGGTGAAAACTGCTCTTACCAAGATGGCTGACTTGAATAAAGACATTCAATATTTTTCAAAAAATTCACTGTTCTGGTACTGAGATCTCTAATGATAACAGATTACAATTAAACAGAAAATGCTGTAAAATACCTTTACAAAACATAGCCTGACTTTGCAGATTAAGATATATTTCTCGATTATTTCACTGTTAAAAATCAAGAAAAACACTACTATTAACATTTCAACATCTTAAAAATAGAATTTATGCAATGACATTTTTAAGCTCTACATTTTGTATACTATTACCATCTTTAATCAGTTATGTTCATCCATATATCAAAAGGCAGCACTGGTAACCTTGATAACATTAGATATGCTTATGTGTTTAAGAGAGTCTTGATTAAATATTTCCATAGATTATCCACAGGCACTATTCTTTATCCTTTCTTCCCAGAAGGAGAATGAAGTGGGACTAGGCATTTACCCGGCACTTGCCTGTACTATCATTCATTGGCAGTAATGATTAGGATGCTTGAACCATGCAGTTTTGTTTCAATTTCAACAATATGACACTGAAGTAGCCATTATTTTTTGATATTTATAAGTTATAGTAATATTTTTCATGCCAAGTTTTGGCAGCTCAATAATGTATATTCTAGAGGGGAAAAATGATCATATTTCTTGTTATTATTTATTTAAAAAGAAAATCAGCTTAATATCCCATTAAAATAAAAGCTATTTACCTGAACTTATTAATGATGCTTGCTGAAGACAAAAATAAAGTGACTTCAAAAACCCCAAAACTATGTTTAGAATTTACAAGTAAAAAAGAAAAAAAGATTATATTTTTCTGTTAAGAATATAATTCTCTATCATTTACAAATATAATTTGGTAATTTATATTTCAAAGATATCCTATGGTCCTATATGTATTATCAACTTCTAATTGCCAATTCTGCATGTTATAATAATCTATAGTTATAGTTTGTCCATGACTTGCAAGTTATTCTTAACTTCACCATGAAGAGGCTGCAAATGATATGTTTATGAAATGCCTCAACATATTTCTAGTTTGTGAAAACCTTAGAGTAATAAGTTAATCAGCAGATTATTTGTAAACCCACAGTACTGAAATTACAGTGATACCCTTCATATGGCTGAATCATATAAAATATGACAAGAGAACTATACCATATTAGGTGTTACTTCATGAAATTACATGTTATAGCAGTTTCCTAAATGGTAGTACACATATACCACTGGATGGCCCTGAGATGATTTTAAGTTAAGTGGTACATGGATAAACAACTTTTCTTTAATAGCTATATATTTATCTTAATGTTTATTATAAAAAATATAAAAGCACATAAAACATGGAATATGATTGCTCAAAACAAGACAAAGGTTAAAAAGGCTAAAAATATTTTTAAAAAATAACCATGATATAGAATATGTGAGAATTGAGGAAGGTGGAAACACGTAGGAAACACTGTCATAAGGAATGATTTGACTTAGGCAGCATCATTTCTGAATGCTTGTAATAATGAGCCACATCATAAAGGGGTTTCTTCTCCTACTGTAAATTCTGGGAGGTTTTTGTCCCCCAGAATAAATACCTGGAAACAAAATTCACATTTATTTTAAGACTATGAATTGTAATGCATTGAGTAAACTTACTTTAAAAGTGTTCACCAAAATGGTGAAAAAGTTCAGGACGATTTGAGGAACATGCTATTCCTACAGAACAGGGAAGACTACAAAGGCACATTATATATTATAGTTATCACTTCAGCATTCAAAAATAAGTGACCTAAATAATCATTACCATTAATAGTTATAACACTCTTTCATAGAAAAGAAGGTAGGCTTGTGCACTAAGTGCTCTTGATTCTGGAACCGCCTGTACATAAGTGTCACTAACATGGACCCATTGGCCTGCTGATTCACTATCAGCCTCTTTCAAACCTAGCAAAACAAAAAGAAGTACAATTTTACAGTAAGTATGCTTTAGGTTCTTACTCTAAATTACAAACAATAACATTCATTACAAACTCTAATGCTAAATTTTACTGAAGGAGTCTGTTTCTTAAGCATTTTCCAAAACAAACAATATCTTTCTTTTTTTTTTTTGGAGATGGAGTTTTGCTCTTGTTACCCAGGCTGGAGTGCAATGGCGCGATCTCAGCTCACCGCAACCTCCACCTCCTGGTTTCAGGCAATTCTCCTGCCTCAGCCTCCTGAGTAGCTGGGATTACAGGAACGTGCCACCAGCTAATTTTTTTTGTATTTTTAGTAGAGACGGGGTTTCACCATGTTGACCAGGATGATCTCGATCTCTCGACCTTGTGATCCACCCGCCTTAGCCTCCCAAAGTGCTGGGATTACAGGCGTGAGCCACCGCGCCTGTCCTCTTTTTTAAAATTATACTTTAACTTCTGTGCAGAATGTGCAGGTTTATTACATAGGTATACATGTGTCATGGTGGTTTGCTGCACCCAGGATCCTGTCATCTACATTAGGTATTTTTCCTAATGCTATCCCTCTCCTAGCACTCCACCCCACAACAGGCCCTGATGTGTGATGTTCCCCTCCCTGTGTCCGTGTGTTCTCATTAGAATCAATTCTTTCAAAGCATTAATATTATAGGGATAATTAATAATGCTGAGTGGCAGACTAATCCCAGCACTCTGGAAGGCTGAGGCAGATGGATCACTTGAGATCAGGAGTTTGATACCAGCCTGGCCAATCTGGTGAAACCCCATCTCTACTAAAAGTACAAAATTAGCTGGGTATGGTGGTACATGCCTGTAATCCCAGCTACTTGAACTCAGGAGGCGGAGGTTGCAATGAGCCAAGATAGTGACACTGCACTCCAGTCTGGGAACAGGGCAAGACTCCATCTCAAAAACAAAAAACAAAAAAAACAAAATGCTGTCTAGTTAGTAACACTTTAACAATCTAGTAAAATATTAGCTTTATTGTTCTTAATTGTTCAGGGAAAAGAATCGTTTTTTGTTTTTTGGTTTTTTTTTTGAGATGGAGTCTAGTCTTACTCTGTTGCCTAGGCTGGAGTGCAGTGGTACAATCTCAGTTCACTGCAACATCTGCCTCCTGAGTTCAAGCAATTCTTCTGCCTCAACCTCCCAAGTAGCTGGGACTACAAGGGCATACCACCACACCCAGCTAATCTCTGTATTTTTAGTAGAGATGGGGTTTCACCATGTTGGCCAGGCTAGTCTTGAACTCCTGACCTCAAGTGATCTTCCTGCCTCGGCCTCCCAAAGTGCTGGGATTACAGACATGATGAGCCACTGCACCTGGCCAAGAATCATTTTCAGCCGAGTTTTTTTTTTTTTTAAAGCAGGCTGGGCACTGTCTGTGGCTCATGTCTGTAATCCCAGCACTTTGGGAGGCTGAGGCAAGTAGATCACTTGAGGTCAAGAGTTTGAGACCAACCTGGCCAACATGGTGAAACCCCATCTCTAATAAAAATACATTAGCTGGGCGTGGTAACACACGCCTGTAGTCCCAGGACCTCTGGAGGCTACAGAACTGCTTGAGGACCTCTGGAGGCAGAAGAACTGCTTGAACCTGGGAGGCAGAGGTTGCAGTGAGCCAAGATTGTGCCACT